AAAGGGTAGAGGATATAATTTGGGAGCCATAGTAGGATGGTGTTATATGGCAGAAGCACAAGGTTTTAAGGAGAGAATTGGCAACAAGCATTAGCAATGAGATTAAAGAAAATGAGCACTGAAGATGTCTGTTCTCTTCTGTTTCTATCACCTACATAATGTTCCAGGTTGATCTTCTTGAGATGGAGCTCTGATCATGCCATGACTTTGAACAGAATTCTTTCTAGTAAATCTACTGCCTATTGAATTAAATACAAGTTATGGTTAATATTTAAGATCTGTCACATGTTTCTGACCTAATCTCTACTTATCCTTTAATCATACTGTGCTAGAGCCAAAACTGAAGTTTGAAATTTTTGTTCCTTCCTCTGTTCTGTGACTTTGCTTAAACTGTTCACTCCCTAGACAACTATTCCTTTTTATCTCTGGTTGAAACCCTCCTACTTCTGGAAGGCTCTTCTCAAATTTCCTCTTCTTTCCTGAAGCCCTTCTTAATCTACAGTTTCTTGCAGTGGTTTAAATCTCTGCTTTAAACCATTGACTACTCAGTGTTTCCCCTCTGTCACTAGAATTAGCCCTACCTTGCATTTGGGGTGCTTATCCCTGTCATCAAACTGCAGGCTCCTTGTTTGTTTTCTCCGCCCATCTGGCACAGTGCTTAGTAAATTACCATGTTTCTCTTTTTTAAAAAATTGTGTCTTAAAGCCTATTATATTTTTTTGGATATGTCACTAATCCTCTGAGCATTTTCCTCCTCGACTGTGAAATTAAAGGGTTACATTTTATTTTAGTCCTTTCACATTTTCATCACAGTTGTCTTCCTGAAAGCAAACCTGATTTCATCATTATTTTACTTCAAAATCTTTGTTTTCCATTGTCTATAAGATAAGCTTCTTGGTTTGGCATATAAAGTCTGTATCGTCAGGACTCTTTATTAGAGGTTACAGAAACGCAAATTGACTAAAACAGAAAGAGGAATTTATTGGCTTGTATTATGGAGAAGCCTGGGGCCCCATCTGTATCAAGCATGACTGAATCCAGGTGCTCAAACAATATCATGTGACATCTACCTCTACCCATCTCCCAGCAATTTTAAAATTTGATTTTACTTTCTAATAAATTCTACCTATAAGGTGACAGAAATGGCTACTAGTAGCTTTAGCAATCTATGTTTGGCCCAGTTTGAGGTCCTTGCTTAATCCTGGAACAAACAATGTGTCAAAGAGATGGAGTACTTTGATTCATTAGACCTTGGTGGCCTGTCTATAGAAGGGGGAAGGGACACCAACTCTACCTAAACTACATGGTCCAACACGGGGAGGGAGGGTTTTCCAAACAGGCTCCCACGGATCTCTTGCCTTGTCTGACATTTTGCCTCACACATCTCAGGCTCTAACTGTACTAAACGTTGCAACAGTTCCTGAATACTTCTTTACTCTTATAACTCATTCTTGTGACTTTTGCCTGAAGTGTCTTGTCTCAGTCTTCCTTTGTTTCTTACTAGCAAAATCTTTTTTATTTATTTTTTGTCATTTAGGACCTTGTTAAATCGTCCCTCTGCCAAGGGTCCTTTTCTGTATTGTGACCTGTTGGTGGTACTTCTCTCTCACTGTTCCATGCTTTGAGGATGACAACTCTATTTGTTGTCTTCACATCCCTAGGCCAGAGTGTGCTGCTGCCAGGTATACAATAGACCTTTAAATTTTTAAAAAATAATTTTATTTTAAAAATAATATTTTTAGATTTCTACATTAAATTATATGATTTTTCAAATTTGTTGAAAATAGATAACAAATATTAACTTAAGGACAGTGTTTTGTCAGGGCACTATTTTAATGAGTCTTAGTTTTAAATGTCTGCTTCAATAATTCATGTGAATCTTTCTTTTTTATAGAGGACCCACAGACATGAATTATTTACTCCTCCAGTGATAGGTTCTCATCCTGATGAAAGTGGAAGCAAATTCCAGGTTAGAACATTATTCTAATTATTTAGGGGGTGTAAGTATACAAATTTAATGTTTATTGTTTATTATAATTTACTGAATTTTTAATGAAAATGAACTACTAGTAACTGTTTAACTAGCTAACTGGCCTTTGCCTGCCCACTATCCATACCCTATGTCCTGAGTCCTGCAAATCTCTATTAAAAGCAATGACTTCCTTCTTTGAAGCAAGCCCTGGGATTGTGTAGCCCCCAGAGAGTCTCTGGAACCAAGACAGATCCCTAGTCCTCCCAGTCCATTTGCTATATGCTCTACTGGCTCTCTGTCCAACTCTCAACATTACCCTTTGCTCTTACTCATACTCCAAAATATTGGTCCTTGCCCAGCCCAGCCCTCTAGTGACCACCACACACTTAGTCAACTAAAATGTACTATATCAGTTGGAATGAAACCTTTATATGGACACTAAAGAACATTTATAGAATGAATGAGGTGTCACAGAAGACCACAGGGCTGTTGGGATCCGAGGAGCAGAGGTAAAAAGGAGAGTTTCTTTCATGTGTGTTCCTTCCACTTTTATACCTTGGAAAGTGATTACCAACCAGTACTCTCGCTTTTGTTCCAGCAACACAATCACTGTCAGCCTATCTATGGCTCTCTTTCTCTCTCCAGCACACAGAACCCTGCAGTGGGAATATCCCTTAGCTACTGTGTCTGGGCCCTACCATTTCTGCAAGGTTCCAAATGGGTTCTAAAGAGGCCCAGCCTCTTCTAAGATTCACCAAATTCTCTACCAAGATAGAAGAGAAATCATGATGATGAGTAGTCTCATAGATACTAAAACAATAATACTAGATAATGCTCAAATTAATGCTGGAGGACAGCACTATTTATAGTGTTTGATAGTTTTTGCTTTTAATTTTTATTAAAATTATACATAGTATAATTTTGAAAATTTATATTATATATATTTTTCAAATCCTACCTAATAAAAGAGTAATAAGCAAATTAAACATCACTTCACTACACCCATAAGCCATGCCCACCAGCCAATCAGAGTGAGTATACAAATTAACCCCAACCAAGATGGCTGCCGCCACAGAGAGCAGGAGGGAGGCTTTGTTTCCCAGGCAATAGAGGAAGCCAAGCTTTCCACACACTTTGGCTGGCCTAGGCCTCCACTCAAGGATACAAAGTTTCAATTATAGAAGATATATGAAACCAAACAGAAATGGTGGCAGCCGAGTGAGCAGGGGGCTTGGTTCTGCTCCAGGCTACAAAGTTTTAATTGTAGAAGATCAATATGGACCTTGAGAGCATTATGCTAAGTGAAATAAGTCAGTCGAAAAAAGCTAGAACTATATGATTTCACTCATATGTGGGATATAAAACTGAAATTCATGAAAACACACACAAAAGATTAGTTCCTTTAAAATAATTTTTTTAAATTTATTAATTTGAGAGAGAAAGGGTGGGGAGAGAGAGAGAGTTGATTTGTTGTTCCACTTATTAATGCTTTTATTAGTTGATTCTTGTATGTGCCCTAACTGGGGATTGAACCACAACCTTAGCATATCAGGATGATATTCTAACCAACTGAGCTACACAGCCAAGGCAAAGGTTAGTTTCTTAAAAGAATATATTTTCAATCTTTAAGAATTTATTTTGTTTTATTTTAGCTTAAAACAATAGAAACCCTATTGGGCAATACAACCAAAATTGGAGATGTAATTGTTCTTGGAATGATAACACAATTAAAAGAGGTAAGTTAAACTTAAGCATCATACTTCTATCTGCACCCTTCAGATTAATGAAATGTCAGTTACATATAGCATCTCTAGAAAGGTACAGGAGTATAGTCTTTTTAAAAAATATACACATTTTTTAAAAAATTGATTTTAGAGAGGGAAAGAAAAATAGAAACATCAATGATGAGAATCATTGATCGGCTGCCTTCTGCACACCCCACACTGGTCAGGGCACATTCCCACATGTGCCCTGACTGGGAATTGAACCATTACCTTCTGGTTCATTGGTCAACGCTCAACCACTGAGCCACACCACCTGGGCAGGAGCATAGTCTTCATTAATGGTTCATACCTCAGTCACTAAGGAGCCTTTTTATTGTATTTGGTTTCTTGGAAGACATTTGGAAGGAGTATCTTATACAGGTTAACAGATTTCATAATCTGCAGTTAGTCTCCCAGTGTCCTCTGGCTGTACTGAGAGTACTGAGTTTCTGAACAAACAAAACTGCAGTCCATATCCTGGTCCCTTGGAGACACTGTTGACTCCCTTAGGTGAAGGCACTTGGTGAGGTCCAGTGGCAGCCAGCAAGTGTCCTCTTGCCATCTCCTGATCTTCAGTGGTCATTCTCTGAGTATCTAGGTGTCTAATTCTCAATTAAGTGGTTTGTCTGACATCACCAGATTGTCAAAATTGTCAGTACTTTAATTATTTTATTATATTCATTTTTACATAATTGTGGACATAAGTCTTTTATTTTGTTTTTAGGGAAAATTTTTTCTGGAAGATCCGACGGGCACGGTACAACTGGATCTTAGTAAAGCTATATCCTTCACTTTTATTTTCTTTAACCTATATCCTTTTATTTCTTTTAATCTTCAAGTTAGGGAAATTGGTTATATATCATTCCCAGTTTTAACTATTTGGTTTTCCGGTGTAACTTTCATATGGTGGTGGTGTAGGAATTTACTGTAGAAACACAATCCTAAATAGAAACAAAACAAAGAAAACTACTTCCCTCTTATCTGGAGAGTGCAGACAAATCACTGAGGAAGTTTATAACATGCCAAGAATGATTTATACTGTCAGTATTACCAGGCTACATCCTAGAATCAGACATAGGTACATTTCAACCTAAAAAATTTTAAGGTGTGATCTAGTCATAGTTTCAAATGTGAAGTCTTTAATTATTGTTTAGAAATCTTTGTCAGGCCCAAAATGTGTGTTGATTATCACTACCTCAACATATAAATAAAATTATTTTTCTCAACTATGTGTACCAGTTCCATAGTGGTTTATACACAGAGTCATGCTTTGTCTTAGCAGAAGGTAAGTCAGTATTCATCATTCTACAGTAAAACCATTTCTATATTGTTAACATGGTATAATTTGGGAGAATAGCAATTATAAGAGCATACTTTTGACAACTTAACATGACTCTCAGTCTGCTAATTGGCACAGGTTTCTTTTTGGGTTGATGAAAGCACTCTGAAATTAGATGGTTCTACAACTTGTGAATATACTAAAATTTTTATTTTATATATATTTTATTTACTTTTAAAGGTGAATTGTATGATATGTGAATTATATAAATAAAGTTGGGGAAAAAAACCCAGATTTTACATAGGGTCATAAGATAAAAGATTTCCTAATCAGAGTACCTTATCTCTCTTTACTGACCTATGCATTGTGAGTAAAATGAAAAGTTTCAATTCTGAATCTATTTCTATTTTATGAGGGTTTTTTGTTTATTTGTTTGTTTGTTTGAATAGAACTGAGACTGTCACTGGATCTGAAATTGTTTTCTAGTTCAGTGGGACTGGCAACTTCTGTAGTTAATTCACAGGGGATGAGATGACAGCCTAGCACAGTGGTCAACAAACTCATTAGTCAACAGAGCCAAATATCAACAGTACAATGATTGAAATTTTTGAGAGCCAAAAACTGACTTCTGCGCATGGGCCATGAAGTTTTAATCGCACTGTACGTGTGCACCCGCACATGGTATTTTGTGGAAGAGCCGCACTCAAGGGGCCAAAGAGCCACATGTGGCTCACAAGCCACAGTTTGCCGACCACTGGCCAAGCATTACTGCTTTGTGTTCTGTAGTTTGTCCTTTTAAACAAGGAGGAGAATTGGACAAATGAAAGTGATTTTTTTTTAATATTTTTTCAGGTTGGTTTGAAGATCAAGTGTTTCATGTCAATGCTTTTGGATTTCCACCCACTGAGCCCTCTAGCACTACTAGGTATAAACATGTTTGATTTAAACTCTTTAGGAATTTTATAATGCTGAAGTAATGAATGTTAGATAGTATATCATATCTCAGTTATTACAAGGCCTCAGGCTTTGTGTCAGAACTCAGAGAACAATGGAAAACTAAAATTAGAAGACTGGGTAGTATATGTAATTGAAAACTAGTGAATTGACTCCAAATAAGTTGCAAAAGCATTTCCATACTTGTCTTTAACTGGAAAAGATTTCTAGTTGAACTGTCTTACTTGTCTCTAGGGTAGATGAGAAGTTCAACTGAGGTAAAAGATAAGAAAAACACTTAAGAGAATATAATTGCCATCCTATATCATAAAATCCCAGAATGACCACTTGACCAGTCACTATGAGGTACACTGACCACCTCTCAGTCCCTTTCCCCAGCCAGCAGGCTCTGCTTGCTAATAGTGAAGGGGGACCTGAGGTGGGATGTGGGCAGTGCCAGGCCAAGCCCCCCACCCCACCAGTCACCCCACACACAGGGTGACCAGCAGCGGGGGTGGGGCCAGTGAGCAGGCAGGAACAGCCAATCTCTTTGTCCCTCCCCAAGGGCTATCAGGCTCCCATCACTGGATGGGGAACTGGGGTGGGTGGCCACAGGGGCAGGGCCAGCAACTGGGGAAGATGGCCCTGATCGCAGGCTAGGCCTAGGGACTGTACCTATGCCTCTAGTCCTACCTAATAAAAGAATAATATATAAAAATTAACCATCACTCCGCTATACCCACAAGCCACGCCCACCAGCCAGTCAGATCGAGTATGCAAATAAACCCTACCAAGATGGCTATAGCCACAGAGAGCAGAAGGGAGGCTTGGGTTTCCCAGGCAATGGAGGAAGCCAAGCTTTCCACTTGCCTTTGCCGGCCTAAGCCTCCACTCAAGGCTACAAAGTTTCAATGATCTACGGTAAACATATACAAACAGAAATGGCGGCAGCCACGGAGCTGGAAAGAGCAGGAGGGTAGGGTTGCTCCTGGTAATGGAGGAAGCAAAGCTTTCTGCACACCCCGGCCAGCGTAGGCCTCTACTCCAGGCTACAAAGTTTCAATTATAGAAGATACATAAAACCAAACAAATGGCTGCCAGCCTTGGAGCCAGCAAGAGGATTGGCTCACTCAAGGCTACAAAGTTTCAATCGTAGAAGGTAAATTCCAGATCCCAGGGTCTCCACTTAGGTCACCAGGGGGTGTGGCTGGCCTGCAAACCACTACAGGCCCCTCATTCAGGCTGCCCCACACCCCAAGGGAACCCCCACCTGGGACATCCTTCAGGGCAAACCAGCTGGCCCCTACCCATGCACCAGGCTTCTGTCCTATCTAATAAAAGTAATATGCAGATTGACCATCACTCCAACACATAATATGGCTGCCCCCATGTGGTCAAATATCTTGCCCATATTTGGACACAAGATGGCCATCAGGGGAGGGCAGTTGGGAGGCACCAGGCCTGCAAGGGAAGGCAGTTGGAGGCAATCAACCCTGCAGGGGAGGGCAGTTAGAGGTGACCAGGCCAGCAGAGGGAAGTTGGGGGCAAACAGACTGCAGAGGAGCAGTTAGGTTTTAATCATGCTGGCAGGGGAGTGGTTAGGGGGTGATCAGGCTGGTAGGCAGAAGCGGTTAGGTGCAATCAGGAAGGAAGGCAGGCGAGCAGTTGGGAGCCAGCAGCCCTGGATTGTGAGAGGGATGTCCAACTGCTCTTGAAGGGTCCCAGATTAGAGAGGGTGCAAGCTGGGCTGAGGTCACCCCCACCCCCGTGCACGAATTTTGTGCACCTAGCCTCTAGTATTAATATAAAACTCTTATTTTTATATTTTACTGAGTGAAAGTTACAAGAGGCAGATTCTGTAGCTCTTTAATATAAGTGAAAGCACCATAATATTTGAGCTATTCCAAAAGGGCCTTTTCTGAGAGGAGTGAGTTCCTATTATTTGAGCTATTTGAGCAGAGGCTGACTTGCTGGTATTAAAGTATAGGTGGGCCCTCACCAGTTTGGCTCAGTGAATGGAGCATTGGCCTGCAGACTGAAGGGTCCCACGTTTGATTCCAGTCAAGGGCATGTACCTTGGTTGCGGGCACATCCCTAGTATGAAGTGTGCAGGAGGCAGCTGATTGATGTTTCTATCTCTCTATCCCTCTCTCTTCCTCTCTGTAATAAATCGATAAAATATATTTCAAATAAAATACAATAAAATAAAAGTATAGCTGGTAGGCTGTGGGTTGAGTGTACAGACCTTTCATTACCCTTTGAGATATTAAAACACATTTTGAGTTTGTTCCAGTATTTAAAAATAGAAGATTTCTCGTAAAAGTCTCTAGATTCCTGAGTTCTCTTGAACCATCAGATCTGAGAACATGGTTCCTGAATTTTCTCCTAGCTGCAACTCTACTGCAGGTTATATATGTGCTTCCTGGCTCATACCTAGTCAGCCTCAGCTGGAGGCTAATTTGATATCTGTGTTTCCTCGAAACCTTGCCATCATTTGAGTTTGCTACCTCTTGGGGAATTAAAGTTGCATTCTAACTTTAGAATCTATTGTGATGGTAAAGATTTAAAGGAGTATAAGAATTAAGATTTTATTTTGACATGCCTGTATCAATTCAGTGCAGAGGCCATGTGTCCTGCTAGGAGTCACTGGCAGGGCAGCCTTTGCAGTGCAGCCCCTCTTCCTTTGAAGTAATTTGGGGACAATGCTGGTCACTAAGGAGAACACAAGCCCTCATCAAGCCAGCTCTTTTAAGGGAGTGTTTTTAATGCTAGTTTGAGGCTTTTTACAACCTGGTAGGGTTTCTTTGAAATACATTTCAATCAAAATTGCTGTCTTGGTGTTTTAATTTTATACAAGTTTCAAAATTACTACTTGGGAATGAGAAGTATAATTGAGGAAGCTGGCTATGAGTATTAACATTTGTTTCAGTTTAGCCAAGAGATAATCATTGTAATATCTCAAATAATATTCCATTTAATTTATGCCATTTTTTCTAAATTGAACTGTTTTCTGTGTTTAATACACCAAAGACTAGTATGAGGTGTCATAAAGTACACTAAAATGAAATAATCATTTTATTCCTGTTAGGATTATAAATTACTTTTCTCTTAAAACACCTTCCAAATAAAATTCAGAGAGCTGTACTCGGGTGGTAAGTCAGTGGATTCAGCAACAGATATTTTATTAAGTATTTTTTATGTGCAAATAAGCACAAATAAATGGTCCTGTCCCAAAAGGATTTATACTAACCTAATGCCTTCCCACAATTGCACAGTATATCATACAGGTTTGTTATCCTAGAATATTTCTTTTCAAATTTGACAACTTAGAAAAATACTGTCAGGCCTTCCTCTTGATCATATACTTGTATCTTATATTTTATGAACCATGGACAGATGATGTTAGTAAGGCTTGTCTGAGCTTTAATTTCTGAATAATCAGTTTAATAGGTATTGTTTTCTGTGATGCTCTGGTTTATTCTTGGGTATATATTAAATTGAAGTCAGCATACAGTTGTATCAACTTACTGCATTCCTCTGATAACTGCTAGATTATAACTGTAAGGTCATATCTTTGAAAATGCCAAGTATAATTGTGGCAACAGTAACAGCTACCATGTCTGAGTGCTCACAGTATACTAAGGGCTATTTCTACTACACTTCCAAATTTTCACAATTCTGGAATATAGGCTATCCTTTGTAAATACTCTTACTCCTTAGAACAAATTAGAAGTGACATTGGTCAAATGGTTAGCACTCTTTTTGAGCACTTTGATTAGATATTGTTCAAATTTAGTACCCATTTCTCTTTCAACTACATGGGAAATTATGATTTATTTTACTATTTGCTTTAGTTTTAAAAGGCACAGATATAGCCTATTATGAATTTTATTTACTGCTTCTATATTTCTCCCTTTCTCATTTTAGATCATTTAAATGAACTTGTTTGCTACAAATAATACATTTTTATGGTACTATATAAATTGATGGAAGAAAAAACTTTATTAGATAGAAAGAAGTTTAATTTGTAAAATTATAAAATATCTCCCAGAGATTATTGAAAATAATAATTGTGTTATAATTACCTAGGGCATACTATGGAAATATTAATTTTTTTGGAGGGCCTTCTAATACATCAGTAAAGACTTCTACAAAACTAAAACAACTAGAAGATGAGAATAAAGATTCCATGTTTGTGTTTATATCTGATGTTTGGTTAGATCAAGCAGAGGTGCTGGAAAAACTTCACACCATGTTTTCTGGTAGGTTTCATTTTTTAATTTCTTTAACTGTTATTGGGGGGTCACGTTTTAAAATTAAATTCTTAAAAAAAACACGTTGAGTTAGCAGTAAGATATTTTAAGTGAGTTCATCTTTTCTTCCACCCCCCCTTGGGTTTTTTTTTTTTTTTTTAATAAATCTTTATTGTTCATATTATTACAAATGTTCCTCATTTTTTTCTCCCCTCCATTGCTCCCCTTCACCAGGTTCCCACCCCACCCTCTGCCCTTTCCCCACCCCTCATTGTCCTCATCTATAGGTGTACAGTTTATGTTCAGTCTCTTTCCCCACCCCCCACTCCCCTTTTCCCTGAGAATCATCAGTTCACTCCCTTTCCATACCTCTGATCCTATTATATTCAACAGTTAATAATGTTCATCAGGTTTTTTAATTCCCTTGGTTTTTAGATTCACTTGTTTATAGTTACGTATTTCTTGTTCATAATTTTTATCTTTATTTTCTTTCTCTTCCTAAAGAACCTTCTTCAGCAATTCATATAATTCTGGTTTGGCGGTGAAGAACTCTTTTAGCTTTTTTTTATTTGTGAAGCTCTTTATCTGGCCTTCGATTCTAATGATAGCTTTGCTGGGTAGATTATTTTTGGCTATAGGGTTAGCTTTGCTGGGTAGATTATTTTTGGCTGTAGGTTCTTGCTGTTCATCAACTTGAATATTTCTTGCCATTCCCGTCTGGCCTGCATGGTTTCTGTTGAGAAAACAGTTGACAGTCATATGGGTGCTCCTTTATAGGTAACTACCTGCTTTGCTCTTGCTGCTTTTAATATTCTCTCTTTGTCTTTTGCTCTTGGAATTTTAATTATGATATGTCTTGGTGTGATCCTCTTTGGATTCCTTTTGTTTGGCGTTCTGTGCGTTTTCTGGACTTGTAAGTCTAATTCTTTCACCAGGTTGGAGAAGCTTTCTGTCACTTACTTCCACTATGTTTTCGGTATCTTGCTCTATCTCTTCTTCTGGGACCCCCATAATTTTGATGTTGGTTCGCTTGAAGTTGTCCCAGAGGTTTCCTACATTATCTTCAACTTTCTGGATTCTCATGCCTTCTAGCTTCTGCGGAGGAGTGTCTTCTGGCTCTTTATGTTCCAACTCTTTGACTTGATTCTTGCGATCTTCCATTCTCTTTTTAGGAGTCTGTATAATATTTTTTATTTCAGACAATGTATTCTTTATTTCTTGTTGATCCCTTATTATTTCTAGTTGATCCCTTTTTATATTCTCATAGGTCTCATTTATTTTATCGGCCTTTTCTAGGAGATTCATTTTTTTAAAATAAATTTTTATTGTTCATATTATTACAAATGTTCCTTTTTTTAAAAAATAAATCTTTATTCTTCATATTATTACAAATGTTCCTTTTTTTTCCCCTCCCACCATTGCTCTCCTCCACCAGGTTCCCACCCCACCCTCTGCCCTTTCCCCACTCCCCATTATCCTCATCCAAAGGTGCACAGTTTATGTTCAGTCTCTTCCCACATCCCCCTCTCCCCTTTTCCCCAAGAATTGTCAGTTCACTTCCCTTCCATACCTCTGACTCTATTATATTCAACAGTTAATATTGTTCATCAGGTTTTTTTTTTAATTTCCTTGGTTTTTAGATTCACTTGTTGATAGTTACGTATTTGTTGTTCCTAATTTTTATCTTTATTTACTTTCTCCTCTTAAAGAACCCCCTTCAGCAATTCATATAATTCTGGTGTGGTGTTGATGAACTCCTTTAGCTTTTTTTAATTAGTGAAGCTCTTTATCTGACCTTCTTGTAAGTGATAGCTTTGCTGGATAGATTATCTTTGGCTGTAGGTTCTTACTATTCATCACCTTGAATATTTCTTGCCATTCCCATCTGGCCTGCATGGTTTCTGTTGAGAAATCAGCTGACAATCGTATAGGTGCTCCTTTATAGGTAACTACCTGCTTTGCTCTTGCTGCTTCTAATATTCTCTCTTTGTCTTTTGCTCTTGGGATTTTAATTATGATGTGCCTTGGTGTGGTCCTCTTTGGATTCCTTTTGTTTGGAGTTCTGTGTGCTTCCTGGACTTGTAAGTCTAATTCTTTCACCAGGTGGGAGAAGCTTTCTGTCACTATTTCTTTCAGTATGTTTTCGATATCTTGCTCTCTCTCATCTTCTGGGATCCCCAAAATCCTGATGTTGGTTCGCTTGAAGTTGTCCCAGAGGTTTCCTACATTATCTTCAACTTTCTGGATTCTCTTGCTTTCTAGCTTCTGCGGAGGAGTGTCTTCTGGCTCTTTATGTTCCAACTCTTTGACTTGATTCTTGCGATCTTCCATTCTGTTTTCAGGACTCTGTATAATATTTTTTATTTCAGTCAATGTATTCTTTATTTCTTGTTGATTCCTTATCATTTCTTGTTGATCTCTTATCATTTCTTGTTGATTCCTTATTAATTCTAGTTGATCCCTTTTCATATCCTCATAGGTCTGATCCATCTTTTCTAGGAAATTCTTGAAAAACCTTATAAGCGTAGATTTGAACTCTATATCCAGTCGCTTTTTGTCCTCCATATGTTTGGTTTGTGATCTATTTCGTCTTGGCATTTTTGCAGCTTTCCTGAGTTGGTAGCCTTAAAAGTCTCTGTGTTCTGCTTGGATGGGGTGGGGTTTCAGGCTGGAGCCTACAGCCTTGGCTTCCATCACCCCCGCCCTATGCGGGTCCTTCAGTACTTGCTGCCAGCACCTCTGAGAAAGGTGCCCTCGATATTCGCCTGCTGCCAAATAGTCTATGCTCTCCCTTAATGAGCCCGGTATTGGGGTTCAGTTCAGTTGGTAGTGGAATTGGAGGTGGAGTTCAGAGCAGTCTGGAGCCCCTGTCTCCTTCCTGCCAAGGCAGTCCCGCGGCACATCCGGCCGTCACTTCTCTGCGCACAATCCGGGACCTTCTTTAGCCACTCCCCCGCAGTTCCGCCTTACAGCCCAGCTCCCTCTAGATGAGCCTGGGTCCCCGGGATCTGGCCTAGAACTGCGGTTCAGAGCAGTCAGAACTGGGACCCAAAACAGTCGGAGTTTTATCTCCTTCCCGCTAGGGAACGCCAGCCAGGCAGTCAGCCTCCCTCCTCTCCGGCTCCGTCCTCTCCGTACGCTGCGTGTCTCCGTACCTCAGGCTTTTCCAACTCCTCCGCGCTTCCTTCTGGTTTTCTCCTTGCTTCTCGTTGTAGAATTTCCAGTCAGTCGACTTTCCTGTAGTTCTAGGTAATGTCCATTTTATATTTAGTTGTATTTTATTAAAATTGTTGTGTGCGGCTGCAGCTAGGTGTTTACCTGTCATTGGAACCTCCTCTCTAGGAGATTCTTGAAAAATCTATATTATCAGCATGGTTTTGAACTCTATATCCAGTTGCTTTTTGTCCTCCATTTCTTTTGTTTGTGATCTGTTTCCTTGTCTCGGCATTTTCCCAACTTCTCTGAGTTGGTAGCCTTAAAAATCTGTTTTCAGCTTGGATGGGGTGGAGTTTCAGGGTGGAGCCTACAGCCTTGGCTTCCATCAGCCCCGCCCTATGAGGCTCCTGAGTCTCAGTGTTCCTCTGTGTCCTTCTGTACTCACTGCCAGCACCTCTGAGAGAAAGGTGCCCTCGAGTTTCGCCCGCTACCAAACAGTCTAGGCTCTCCCCCAATGAGCCCGGAACTGGGGTTCAGTTCAGTTGGAGGTGGGGTTCAGAGCAGTCTGGAGCTTTTGTCTCCTTCCCGTTAGAGCAATCTAGCAGCAGAGTCAACAGTCCATCCTCTGCGTGTAATGTGTGTGCCTCCGGGACTCTGCCTTTCACCGCTCCTCTGAATTTCCGCCTTACAGCCCAGACTCCCTCCTTATGTGTCTGGGTCCCCAAGGTCTCGCCCAGAACTGGGGTTCAGAGCAGTCGGAACTGGGGTTCAGCACAGTCCGGAGCTTTTATCTCCTTCCCTCTAGGGAATGCCAGCCAGGCACTCAGCTGCCAACTCCTCTCCGGTAGTTGGTAGTGGAATTGGAGGTGGAGTTCAGAGCAGTCTGGAGCCCCTGTGCTCACAACGCATCTCTGTACCTTAGGCTTTTACAGCTCTTCTGATTTTCCTTCTGGTTTTCTCTTTCCTTCTAGTCGACTTTCCTGTAGTCCTGGGTAATGTCCATTTTGTATTTTAGTTGTATTTTTTGAAATTGTTGTGTGAGGCTGCAGTTAGGTGTTTACCTATGCCGCCATCTTGGTTTCTCTTGAGTTCATCTTAAAAGGCTTACATTTTTACACTTGAAAAATAACTGTGTGTGTGTGCGTGTGTGTGTGTGTGTGTGTGTGTGTGTGTGTGTGTGCGTGTGTGTGTGTTTTCATGGTAAATAAGAATTAGTCCTAAATATAATGTAAGAGCTTGAATTTGGGGTCTGACAGAACTGGTTTTAAATTGCAATCTAATACCTTGGGCAGATTACTTAATTTCTATTCAGCTTCTAGAGATGTCAGGAGGATTAATTAACCCATTGCAGAGCCTAGCACTCAATGGACATACTATTACTTTAAAATAGTACGTTATTAAAATTTTGTTTTTATTACTAACAACTCATGGCTATTGGCTTTTAAACCTGACTTGTAGACTAGAAAAATAATGACCATGTTTAGTCTCATATTTTTAGGTTATTCACCAGCACCTCCGACCTGCTTTATTCTATGTGGCAATTTTTCATCTGCACCATATGGAAAAAAACAAGTTCAAGCTTTGAAAGGTATTAAGGATCTATTGAATAAATGTTTCTATATTTATATAAACTAATAAGAAATCATCTATATTTTAATTTCATTCCAATGATATTGGGTTATAACTAATGACACAATTTGATTTTTTAAAAAATATATTTTATTGATTTTTTTCAGAGAGGAAGAGAGAGAGATAGAGAGCTAGAAACATTGATGAGAGAGAATCATTGATCAGCTGCCTCTTGCACACCCCCTACGGGGGATGTGCCCGCAACCAAGGCACATGCCCTTGACCAAAATCAAACCAGGGACCCTTGAGTCTGCCGGCCGACGCTCTATCCATTGAGCCAAACCGGTTTTGGCTGAAACAATTTGATTTGTATGTGCATTATGTACAAATTAAATTTAATATCCTTTTTAAATTTTAGATTCCCTAAAAACTTTGGCAGACATAATATGTGAATATCCCAATATTCACCAAAGGTAATGCTTTCTACTGCTATATTTTTTATTTAAACTATTTTATTTTTTTAATGAATCTTGTTTGATATCAGTGATTAAGAAATGAATAGAAGAAAAATTGAGGAAATTAGTACAGCTAAGCGATAAAATTATCCTCACATCATAATAATGTGTGTTACACTATACTAGAGACTTATAGTTCAAAGTATTAAAAGTGTGAGTGGCAATTTCAACCATATTTTGAATTTCTTCGTGATATTACTTTAAGTCAGGGGTGAGGAACATCTGACCCAAAAGCCATATCATTTAATCTGGCCCTGCCAAGGTAACCGCAGGCGGGTCTTGAAATTCAATAAATCTAAGAGCGTTCTTCATAATTTTTAAGTTTATAATTTTGTATGGTCCTTGAATGATGTCATAAATATTCATATGGCCCTTGGTAGAAAAAAGGTCCCCTACCCCTGCACTAAGTCTAGAGTTGCATTCTTCAATAGGATAGTCACTGGTCACATGTGTCTCTTTAATTTAAAGTTAAATAAAATCTAACATTTAGTTGCACTAGCCACAGTTCAAGCACTAGTTATTGGACAGTGCAGCTATGTCATTGCAGAATGTCTAATGGTAATGTTGGTCTGTAGACTTTTAGTAGTTCATTTATTAAAATGCATGTAATTTTTAAATCTCTTAAATTTATTACTTAATTAAAAGCAATAACTTGTTTTCAAAAAATTGGATTGGTTCACAATTTTTTAAAATTAAATTATGTTGAATTTTGCTACAGTAGTCGTTTTGTGTTTGTACCTGGTCCAGAGGATCCTGGATTTGGTTCTATCTTACCAAGGTAGGTTTTATTGAGATTTTGTGACAGTAAAGAAAATTTTATAAAGTTTAAAAATATACACTGTATCACATAAATTATTTTTATAGGCCACCGCTTGCTGAAAGCATTACTAATGAATTCAGACAAAGAGTGCCATTTTCGGTTTTTACTACTAATCCTTGCAGGTAAATATTAAAATTTTGTGTGTTTTTTTCCTTTTATTTAAAAGTTAATTCTTTACATAGTGTTTGTTTGTGATATATAAGGTTTTCTTTATTTTGTATATGATCAACAAATGCCTTTTAAAAGTAAAAAAATAAAAATAAATAAAAATCAATTCTTAAAAAAATAAATAAAATAAAAGTTTATTCTTATAATGTGTCTCTGAAGTGTGACTATTATGAAATAAATATAAAATTTCACTTTAAATTTCTCAAAACTTTGAAAATATTTTAACTATATTTAAATAATTCACTACTAATGAATTTAGAAGTTTGACTAATGGAGTTTGTTTTAAATGTATCTTTTTATTGATTTCAGAGAGGAAGGGAGAGGGTAAGAGAGATAGAAACATCAATAATGATAAAGAATCATTGATCAACTGTCTCAAGCCTACATGTGCCCTATCTAAACAAGAATTAAACCATGACCTCCTGGTTCATAGGTTGACATTCAACCACTGAGTCACCTCAGCCTGGAAACTAATGGAAATTTAAAAATAGATATTCTCATGTAGGGAGCGGTTATAGGGGTAAGCCTCGGACTGACCTTGAAAGATTTTGTGGCTGCTCCCTGGATCTTTTCTGGGTAGCTAATGGGCTGTGGGAGGGGCAGCAAGTGCTGCCAAAACAAGTGAAACTTACAGCTACATTGTAAATTACCTTGTTTACCTCTGGTTATAAAATAAACCATCAGATTGCAGTCTTGATCTGTTCTGTGGTCTCAGCCAGGCACAGAAGATCCACCTACACCCTATTCTCTTTGTCTGTCTTTTCTTCATCCTTCACCAGCCCTTTCTCAGGCTCACCGAACCCTTGGCTGTGCTGGTACGGCACATTCTCATTACATACACATCCTTTCAAAAAAGTGACAATGGAAGAATGAAAAGATTACATGTTTACTATTTGTGCCACAGGCTCTTCTGAGGCATACCCTCAGTCTTGGGTTCTCTTCTGTCCACATTCACTCCTGCTATGACCTTATCCATCTCCACGGCTTTAAATGCCATCTATATTTTGACAACTCCCACATTTATATATCCAGCTTAGACCTCCCAAACTCCAGCCTCACATATGCAGTTGCCTACTCATAATTTTCCCTTGGATGTCTAATAAACAACTCCAGATTGAATCTCTGATCCTCTTCCTCCCCTGTCAGGCCCAAACCTGTTCTGTAGCCTTCCTCATCAGAGTTCATGGGACCTTTATCCTTTCAGTTGCTCAGACCCAAAACTTTGGGTTTCTCTCACATGCAGTTTACAGGTAGTCCTTCAACCTTTTTTTTTTTTTTTTTTTTAATAAATCTTTATTGTTTATATTATTACAGATGTTCCTCATTGTTTTTCTCCCTCCATTGCTCCCCTCCACCAGGTTCCCACCCCACCCCCTGTCCTTTCCCCACCCCCCATTGTCCTCATCCTTAGGTGCACAGTTTGTGTTCATTCTCTTCCCACACCCCTCATTCCCCTTTTCCCTGAGAATCATCAGTTCACTCCCCTTCCATACCTCTAATCCTATTATATTCACCAGTTAATATTGTTCATCAGATTTTTTTTTTAATTCCCTTGGTTTTTAGATTCACTTGTTGATAGTTACATATTTGTTGTTCATAATTTTTATCTTTATTTTCTTTCTCTTCCTAAAGAACCCCCTTCAGCAATTCATATAATCTGGTTTGGCGATGATGAACGCCTTTAGCTTTTTTTTTTTTTTTTTTTCCTTTATTAATGAAGCTCTTTATCTGGCCTTTGATTCTGAGTGATAGCTTTGCTGGATAGATTATTTTTGGCTATAGGTTCTTACTATTCATCACATTGAATATTTCTTGCCATTCCCGTCTGGCCTGCATGGTTTCTGTTGAGAAATCAGCTGACAATCGTATAGGTGCTCCTTTATAGGTAACTACCTGCTTTGCTCTTGCTGCTTTTAATATTCTCTCTTTGTCTTTTGCTCTTGGAATTTTAATTATGATATGTCTTGGTGTGGTCCTCTTTGGATTCCTTTTGTTTGGAGTTCTGTGTGCTTCCTGGACTTGTAAGTCTAATTCTTTCACAAGGTGGGGGAAGTTTTCTGTCACTATTACTTCCAGTAGGTTTTCGGTATCTTGCTCTATCTCTTCTTCTGGGACCCCCATAATTTTGATGTTGGTTCGCTTGAAGTTGTCCCAGAGGTTTCCTACATTATCTTCAACTTTCTGGATTCTCTTGTCTTCTTGCTTCTGCAGAGGAGTGTCTTCTGGCTCTTCATGTTCCAAATCTTTGACTTGATTCTTGCGATCTTCCATTCTCTTTTTAGGAGTCTATATGTTTTTTATTTCAGACAATGTATTCTTTATATCATGTTGATCCCTTATTATTACTAGTTGATCCCTTTTATATCCGCCAAACCAGAATTATATGAATTGCCGTTTCTAGGAAATTCTTGAAAAACCTTATAAGCGTGGTTTTGAACTCTATATCCAGTTGCTTTTTGTCCTCCATTTCTTTTGTTTGTGATCTGTTTCCTTGTCTCGGCATTTTCCCAGCTTCCCTGAGTTGATAGCCTTAAAAGTCTCTGTGTTCAACTTGGATGGGGTGGAGTTTCAGGGTGGAGCCTACAGCCTTGGCTTCCGTCAGCCATGCCCTATGAGGCGCCTGAGTCTCAGTATTCCTCAGGGTCCTTCATTACTCATTGCAAGACCTCTCGAGTTTTGCACGCTACCAGACAGTTTAGGCTCTCTCCCAATGGGCCCGGAACTGGGGTTCAGTTCAGTTGGAAGTGGGGTTGGAAGTGGCGTTCAGAGCAGTCTGGAGCTTTTGTCTCCTTCCGGCTGGGGCAATCCAGCTGCAGTCAACCGCCCATTCTCCGCACGCAATGTGTGCTCCTCTGGGACTTCCTTTCGCCACTCCCCTGGGTTTCCGCCTTATAGTCCAGTCTCCCTCTGTATGAGCCTGGGTCCCCAGGGTCTGGCCTAAAACTGGGGTTCAGTGTAGTTGGAACTGGGGCTCAGCACAGTCCGGAGTTTTTGTCACCTTCCCACTAGGGCGATCTAGCAGCAGAGTCTACAGTCTGTCCTCTGCACGTAATGTGCACGACTCTGGGACTGCCTTTCCCTGCTCCCCTGAGATTTCACCTTACAGCCTAGGTTCCCTCTGTATGAGCCTGGGTCCCCAGGGTCTGGCCAAAACTGGGGTTCAGTGCAGTTGGAATTGGGGTTCAGCACAGTCCGGAGCTTTTGTCTCCTTCCCGCTAGGGAACGCCAGCCAGGCTTTGAGCCTCTCCCTCCTCTCCGGCTCTGTCCTCTCTGCGCTCTTGCACAACGTGTCTTTGTACCTTAGGCTTTTACAGCTCCTCTGATTTTTCTTCTGGTTTTCTCTTTCCTTCTCGTTGTAGAATTTCCAGTCAGTCGACTTTCCTGTAGTTCTGGGTCATGTCCATTTTGTATTCTAGTTGTATTTTATTGAAATTGTTGTGTGAGGCTGCAGTTAGGCTTTTACGTATCCCGCCATCTTGGATTCTCCAGTCCTTCAACCTTTTTAAGAAAGGTTTCAAAATATACGCAGTATTGGCTGCCTCTTTACAGCTTCATGCTTGTGACCCTCTGTCATCTTTTAAACCTGGGTTACTGTAATACCCTCCTGGTTGGTCTCTAGCTTCCACCTCTATCCTTCTATAATCTATTCTTAATACTATGTCAGAGGATCCTTTAAAATTTAAGGCCCCTTACTGATCCTAAAAGATGGGACCCCCTCATGTCATTTAGTAACAGCCAATATCCTTGCAAGGTAGTCAGGCCCTGTACGATATGCCTCTTATTTCCTCTGCTACTTTTCCTCATTTATTCCAATCACTACAGCTTTTTTTTTCCCTTCTGTTCATCAGATGTGCCAAACATGCTACATCTTACAGCATATGCTATATCTGTTCCCTCTGCCTGCAATGTTCTTCCTCTGTCTGCCTCTCTCACCTCTTCAAGTCTGTGCTCAAATCAAACTGCATTATGAGCCTACCCATCCTGATCATCCTCTTTCATACTCCAGCCTTCTAGACCACCCCCCACAAATGTTCCACTTGACTTATTTTCCCCATACACGTAATCATTTTCCAAGATACTGTATATCATGTTTATTGTTTTTTTCTCTGATCGCCCTCTTCTCATTAGAATGTAAACTCCATGAGGACTAGGATCTTTTTGTTTTGTTCACTCATTTTTACAATAGTTCAGTACACATATTAAAAGCTCAATAAATTACTGTTTAATGAATAGACAAATAGGTAAATTCTTATTGAATTTTTGCTATGGTAAACAATGGAAAGTGGGAATGGTTTTGTATTATAAAACCATTTGCCTTTTATGCCCTAGTCAGTTTGGCTCTGTGGATAGAGCACCAGCCAGTGGACTAAAGGGTCCCAGATTCCATTCCAGTCAAGGACACATGTCTGGGTTGTGGATTCAGTTCCCAATAGTGCAGGAGGCAGCTAATCAGTGATTACCATCATTATTGTTTCTCTCTTTCTCTCTCCCCCACCCCTCTTCCTTCCTCTCTGAAACCAATAATATATTTTAAAAAATAAAAATAAAAATAAATTATCTCATATTTTTTTCTAATAAAATCAAATTCAACTATTTTTATTTCAGAATTCAGTATTGTACACAAGAAATTATTGTCTTTCGTGAAGACTTAGTGAATAAAATGTGCAGAAACTGTGTCCGTTTTCCTAGTAGCAATTTGGATATTCCTAATCATGTAAGTTCACAGTCTTCTTTATAAAACATTACATGTTACATCACATAAAATGTTATTAAGCCCCTTGATAATTTACCCTCTAATGTTTATTTAAATTATGGTTATAATTTGAACATACTTTGTCAGTAAGTTAATATTTTTAGTAATCGGTGTTTCTCAACTTTCTAACTGAAATATCCCCTAATGGGTGGAGGAAAACCAGGAACAAGCAGGAGATTTTATTGAAACTTCCTTGTTTTACTCTAAAACTCATAAATCTTACATTGTACTTCAAAATATACTTATGTGTTTTAATAAAATGTTCATGTTTGCTAAATATTTACTGAGATATGTCAGAATGATGTGTAGTGCTTATATTATAGCTTCAAGGTGCCATGATACATTTTCCCCCTTTTCAGAACTTATGAAGAGATCTTAGACATTTTCTATATTTATTTTATAATAGTTAAAGCTTTTATAGGCAAAACTAGAGGCCTAGTGCTGTGCATGCATGCGGGCAGGGGGTGTCCCTTAGTCCAGCTTGCAGTCTCTCCAATCTGGGACCACTTGAGGAATGTCTGACTGCCCGATTAGTCCCTATCCCAGTGGGTTCAGGCCTAAACAGGCAGTCGGACATCCCTCTCACAATCCAGGCTGCTGGTTGCCAACTGCTCGCCTGCCTGCCTTCCTGATTATTCCTAACCGCTTCTGCCTGCCAGCTTGATCACCCTAATCACTCCTATACAGTCTGATTGATGTCTAATTGCTTCCCTGCCAGCCTGTTTGCCTCCAACTTCCCTCCTCTGCTGACCTGGTCACTCCTTACTGCCCTCTCCTGCAGGGTTGATCGCCTCCGACTGCCCTCTTTTGCAGGCTGGTCCCTCTCAGCTACCCTCCCTTGCAGGCCTGGTGCCTCCCAACTGCCCTCCCCTACTGGCCATCTTGCGGTGGCCATCTTGTATCCACATGGGGGAGCCATCTTTAACCACATGGGGGCAGCCATCTCGTGTGTTGGAGTGATAGTCAATCTGCATATTACTCATTTATTACTATAGATAGGATTACTATTCTTTGCATTGCTCAAGCTATGAGTTATTATTTTTTTATTAATTAATTAATTTTATTGATTATAGTCTCACATAATTGTCCTTATCCCCCCACTCCCATCAAAAACCCCTCCACACACATGCCCCCTACCCCCCTATTGTCCATGGCCACTGGCTAGGCCCATATGCATGCACACAAGTCCTTTGGTTGATCTCTTCCCCTTACCCCCACCCTCCCTTACTTTCCCTCTGAGGTTTGAGAGTCTGATTGCTGCTTCTCTTTCTCTGGGTCTTTTTTGTTCATCAGTTTATGTTGTTCATTATTTCCTCTAGATGTGTGAGGTCATGTGATCCAAGAAATACTCTTGTAAGAACCTAAACTGCAACAAGTCATAATGGTTATGCTGAGAGGCAAATGAATCAGTCTATAGTGAGTTCCTTTCTGGGCCAACAGTTCTTTTGAGTCCCAATTTCAATGTCAAACAGTTCCTTATGTGTACATGTCAGCCATGATATTTCAGACCTGGTTGGTGGACAAATGGTGGCAATACAGGTCTGCCCGTCTCTGGTTTGGTCCTGGGCATCCTTCAGCAACACGCAGCTGCTGTCTGCTGGTGTGCTGAGGTGTCGTCAGCATCTTCCATCTCTGAATTGTGTCTCTTCTGTCTTCATGGCTGGAGTGCTTCTGTCTATTCCTCTCTGTTACAGGATTCCAGATGGTCTTGGAGTTCTTTTCTGAAAATATACATATTCTCAACCTAAAGTTAATAAAGGAATATTTTCTTTAAATTTGACTTGGGATTCTTTTTCATTTTTTTTTTTCCCCAAATAATTTTCCTCTGGTTTGTTTTCACACCATGTGTGTATTTTCATGGGTATTTTGCTGTTAGTGTTTGGAATGAAGGTTAATTTTCTAAAGTACAAATTTTTTAGATGTAAATTATTCTCAGGATATTTTACCTTAACATGATATTCTTCCACTGTCACCCCCTTTTTTACTTTAAATAATAGGAGACTTGGAAATTTTATAATGTAGTCTTGATAGCTTTTATATTTTAAATTATTTGCGCTATAGTATGACTACTTTAGGTTCATAACATGTGCACTATAAATTATTTTTTTTTTGTTTTTATTTTATTTTTTTAAATAAATCTTTATTGTTCATATTATTACAAATGTTCCTCATTTTTTTTCTCCCTCCATTGCTCCCCTCCACCAGGTTTCCACCCCACCCTCTGCCCTTTCCCCACCCCTCATTGTCCTCATCCATAGATGCACAGTTTATGTACAGTCTCTTCCCACTCCCCTTTTCCCCGAGGATCCTCAGTTCACATCCCTTCCATACCTCTGATTCTATTATATTCACCAGTTAATATTGTTCATCAGATTTTTTATTTCCCTTAGTTTTTAGATTCACTTGTTGATAGTTACGTGTTTGTTGTTCATAATTTTTATCTTTATTTTCTTCCTCTTCCTGAAACCGGTTTGGCTCAATGGATAGAGCGTTAGCTTGGGGACTGAAAGATCCCGGGTTTGATTCTGGTCAAGGGCATGTACCTTGGTTCCGGGCATATCCACCGTAGGGGGTGTGCAAGAGGCAGCTGATCGATGACTCTCTCTCATTGATGTTTCTAACTCTCTATCTCCCTTCCTCACTGTATAAAATCAATAAAATATATTTTAAAAAAGAACCCCCTTCAGCAATTCATATAATTCTGATTTGGTGGTGATGAACTCCTTTAGCTTTTTTTTATTAGTGAAGCTCTTTATCTGACCTTAGATTCTGAGTGATAGCTTTGCTGGGTAGATTATTTTTGGCTGTAGGTTCTTGCTATTCATCTCCTTGAATATTTCTTGCCATTCCCATCTGGTCTGCATGGTTTCTGTTGAGAAATCAGCTGACAATCGTATGGGTGCTCCTTTGTAGGTAACTACCTGCTTTTCTCTTGCTGCTTTTAATATTCTCTCTTTGTCTTGGAATTTTAATTATGATGTGTCTTGGTGTGGTCCTCTTTGGATTCCTTTTGTTTGGCATTCTGACATTATCTTCAGCTTTCTGGATTCTCTTGTATTCTTTTTTTTTTTTTTTTTGAATATATTTTATTGATTTTTAACAGAGAGGAAGGGAGAGACAGAGAGAGCTAGAAACGTTGATGAGAGAGAAACATCGGCCAGCTGCCTCTTGCACACCCCCTATCGGGGATGTGCCCGCAACCAATGTACATGCCCTTGACTGGAATCGAACCTGAGACCTTTCAGTCCGCAGACCGACACTCTATCACTGAGCCAACCGGCTTCGGCTCTCTTGTCTTCTTGCTTTTGTGGAGGAGTGTCTTCTGGCTCTTTATGTTCCAAATCTTTGACTTGATTCTTACGATCTTCCATTGTGTTTTTAGGACTCTGTATAATATTTTTTATTTCAGACAGTGTATTCTTTATTTCTTGTTGATCCCTTATTATTTCTAGTTGCTCCCTTGTCATATTCTTATAGGTCTCATTTATTTTATTGGCCTTTTCTAGGAGATTCTTAAAAAAAACCTATATTATCAGCGTGGTTTTGAACTCTACATCCAGTTGCTTTTTGTCCTCCATTTCTTTTGTTTGTGATCTGTTTCCTTGTCTCGGCATTTTCACTGCTTCCCTGAGTTGGTAGGGTGGCTTTGTGTGCTAAAGTGTCCTATATGGTTCAGTTGGTCAATCTCCCAGTTACCTGTGGTGGACACTCTTGGTGCCCCCTTTTGTGGACTATGTGTACAGCCTTTTTATAGTTAAGTCTTGATTGTTGTTGGTATCACTGGGAAGAACTGACCTCCAGGCCAATTTGCTGTGAGGATCACCTGTGTCAATGCCAGGAGACAGCCTTATTGGTCTAGACTTGGAAAGTTACAAACGTCTCTGTGCTTAGCTGGGATGGAGCGGAGTTTCAGGGTGGAGCCTACAGCCTTGGCTTCCATCAACCCTGCTCTATGAGGCTCCTGAGTCTCAGTGTTCCTCAGTGTCCTTCTGTACTCACTTCAAGCACCTCTGAGAGAAAGATGCCCTTGACTTTCACCCACTACTAAACAGTCTAGGCTCTCCCTCAATGAGCCTGGATCTGGGGTTCAGTTCAGTTGGAAGTGGGGTTCAGAGCAGTCTGGAGCTTTTGTCTCTTTTTCGCTAGGGCAATCCAGCAGCACAGTCAGTCGTCCGTTATCTGCGTGCAATGTGTGCGCCTCCGGGACTTCCTTTTGCCACTCCCCTGAGTTTCCACCTTACAGCCCAGACTCCCTTTGCATGAGCCTGGGTCCCCAATGTCTGGCCTAGAACTGAGGTTCAGTGCAGTCGGAACTGGGGCTCAACACAGTCCAGAGCTTTTATCTCCTTCCTTCTAGGGAACACTTGCCAGGCACTCAGCTTCCCCCTCCTTTCCCCGTGCATGCATTGTGTTTCCGTACCTTAGGCTTTTACAGTTCCTCTGATTTTCCTTCTAGTTTTCTCTTTCCTTCTAGTTGTAGAATTCCCAGTCAGTGGACTTTCCTGTAGTTCTGGGTAATGTCCATTTTGTATTTTAGTTACATATATTTTTTAAATTGTTGTGTGAGGCTGCAGTTAGGCGTTTACCTGTGCCGCCATCTTGGTTTCTCCCGCTATGAATTATTTTTAAAAAATCTTTATTGTTCAGATTATTAGAGTTGTTCCTTTTTTCCCTCCCATAGTTCCCCTCCACCTTGTACACCCTGCCCTTACTCCCCTCTATCCTCATCCATAGGTGTATGATTTTTGTCCAGTCTCTTCCCGCACCCCCCACACCCCCTTTTCCCTAAGAATTGTCAGTTCACTCCCTTTATATGCCCCTGATTCTATTATATTCACCAGTTTATTCTGTTCTTCAGATTTTTTATTCCCTGGATTTTTAGATTCACTTGTTGATAGATATGTATTTGTTATTCATAATTTTTAACATTTTCTTCTTCTTCCTCTTCTTAAAGAATATCATTCAGCATTTCTTATAGCACTGGTTTGGCAGTGATAAACTCCTTTAGTTTTTCTTATCTGTGAAGCTCTTTATCTGCCCTTCAATTCTGAATGATAGCTTTGCTGGGTAGAATAATCTTGGTTGTTGAATCTTGCTATTCATCACTTTGAATATTTCTTGCCATTCTGTCTGGCCTTCATAGTTTCTGTAAAGAAATCAGCTGACAATCGTATGATTACTCTTTGGTAGGTAACTGTTTTTCTCTTGCTGCTTTTAATATTTTCTCTTTGTCTTTTGCTCTTGGAATTTTAATTATGATGTGTCTTGGTGGGTTCTCTTTAGATTCCTTTTGTTTGAGGTTCTGTGTGTTTCTTGGACTTGTAAGTCTATTTCTTTCACCAGGTAGGGGAAGTTTTCGGTCATTGTTTCTTCAAATAGGTTTTCAATTTCTTGCTTTCTCTGTCTTCTTCTGGCACCCCCATAATTCTGATGTTGGTACTCTTGAAGTTGTCCCAGTGGCTTCTTACACAATCTTCAAATTTTTGGATGCTTTTTGCTGTTTGCTTTTCTGGTTGGGTGTTTTTGGTTTCTTTGCATTTCAAATCTTGAACTTGATTCTTGGAATCCTCTAGTCTATTGTTGAATCTCTATATATTATTCCTTTTTTAAAAAAATATATTTATTTTCTTGATTTTTTACAGAGAGGAAGGGAAAGGGATAGAGGGATAGAAACATCGATCAGCTGCCTCTTGCACACCTCCTATTAGGAATGTGCCCGCAACCAAGGTACATGCCCCTGACCAGAAGCAAACCTGGGATCCTTCAGTCCGCACACCGATGCTCTATTCACTGAGCCAAACCAGTTCGGCACTGTATATTATTCTTTATTTCAGTCAGTGTATGCTTAATTTCTAATTGGTCTTTTTTCATATCCTTGAGGGTTTCACTAAATTTCTCAGAGATTTCTAGAAAATTCCTGAGTAACCATGGTTTTGAATTCTTTATCCAGTAGTTTGCTTTCCTCCATTTCTGTAATTTGTTGCCTGTTTCTTTTTCTCCACATTTTGGCTGCTTACCTGTGTTGATCGAGTGGCTTTGTGTGCTAAGTGTCCCAAAGGGCCCAATGGTTCAGCTTCCCGATTTACCTGAGGTGGACACTCTTGATGCATCCCTTTGTGGGTTGTATGCACAGTCTTGTTGTAGTTAAGTCTTGATTGCTGTTGGTATCACTGGGAGGAATTGACCTCCAGGCTAGTTGGCTGTGAGGACCAGTTGTGTCTACAATGGGAGAACTTCTGTGTAGAAACACCCTTATGGGGCAAGATTTGCATCAGTGGGGCTTTGATGCTCACTGAGTCTGCTCCCTGAATGTCTCTCTTAAGGATATAAAGAATTATAATCCAGATGGTCTCACTCTGACCATTTGGGTACACTGGCTCTTGGATCTCCAAGGAGATGCAAAATAAGCCACTGCATGAGGCCACCCAGCAGGAGCTACAGAGACATCTGCAAATTCCTCCTGCTTTTAGGGTTTGAGGTGCCCAGATAAGGTCCAGCTGTGAAACAATGCAAGCTGCTGCAGGGCCTTGGGACTTCTTTTTGAGGTTCTGGGCTATCTGATCCAGCTGTAGGTTTTAGGTTTTAGATTGGGAAAGGCCAGGCCGTTCATGTGCAAAAGCCTCTGCATACAGCTTGGGTGGGGTTGTAAATTGGATGTGGCAGGGTCTCAGGGAATCACCAGGGTGGAGCAAACAGCAATGGCTGACCATCGCTTCTCTGCCTTTTGGCTAAGATCAAGTGTAGCAATGGCTGACCATCAGCCCTGCCCTGAAGCGGTCCCTGGTGTCCTGCGGCACAGTACAGGAACAATGATCGCTGCAAGCACCTCTGAGAGAAAGCCACCCTCCTGTTCCAGCCCAATGCTAGACAGTCCAGTTTCTTCCTGTATGAGTTTGGGTCCCCAGTATCTCACCCAGAACTAGAATTCAGAGCAGTCGGAAACTTGTATCTCCCTCCCGATTGAAAAAGACAACAGTGTACCCAGTTACCAGCCCCTTTCCATGAACCTCTGTACTTCCACACTTCACTTCCATCTCTGCACCTCCTCTTAGTCTCAGTGTGCTCTTCTCTTTCCTTATCCAGCCTTCCCATTGTTCTGGATGATATCCATTTCGTCTTTTAGTTGTAGTTTTGATGTGATTGTGCGTGGCAGCAAGTTCAGGTGTTTACCTAAGCCACCATCTTGGTTCCTTTCGCTATGAATTATTTTTAGATGAACAGAATTACTAAATGAGTTTATTATACAGATATACTAGTAAGTACAGTTGCTCCAATATGATGACTATTGGGGGAATGGATTTTACAGTAAGTGATTTTAAATGAAAACTCAAAAAATTTTCCTAAACTACAAGACAGTCAATCTTATTTCATCTCTGTGTTTTCCACAGCTCTAATTTAGAGTTCTAATTGTTTGTCAAATTTTCTAATTATTTTTGGTAATTAATATTTAATTTGAAATTATTTGTTAGTTGTTTTAACTTTTACAAATGAACTAAAGTTTGTTTTGTATCATTCTTTTTAGTTTGTGAAGACTATCTTATCCCAAGGACACCTGACTCCACTACCCCTCTATGTCTGCCCAGTGTACTGGTCATATGACTATGCTTTGAGAGTGTACCCTTTGCCTGATGTACTTGTCATCGCAGACAAATATGATCCTTTCACTTTGACCAATACCGAATGCCTCTGCATAAATCCAGTAAGAATGTAGTTAACATTATATAGTCATACTTTGTCAAGATTAGAGTGTTATTTCTTTACATTTAAAATGTGTATTTAAAAATATTACTGTTAAAGTAAAAATATACTACTAATGAAACACAATTAGTTTGATATATACTGAAAGTTCTTAAACCTTCAGTATGGCATGTGACTATAAAGTAATGTGATATTTTCTTTAATATATATATATATATATATATATATATATATATATATATATATCATATATATAAGCCACTTATAAATCCAAATGAATATTTTCCCTTCAAAGTAACTTATCTTGGGATTACTTTCAGGGAATTGCTTTCAAAGCATATATCCATTCTCTTTAACCATATAAATGGTATTTATCCTTTGAGGAGGATTTTGATTTTTAGAAGTTGCCCAACTTCCCAAAATCTAAACCTGATAAATAGGGAAATTCTTATTGAGACACATTTTATTACTTATTACACATTTTTTATGCAGAACCTTGAAGTTGCTTTAGAATCTTAAAGTTGCTTCAGAATTTCTACAGAAGTATAATTGACTTTAAATTTAGGGAATACAGATTGCATAAACATTGTGACTGATGCCAAAATGTCTCCACTAGAGGCTTTATGCTTTGTATTAATTCTGGTAAATTTTATACCTTAATACTTTTCTGTTTCATTTAGGTCATTTCTAGAAACATTGTGTCTTACTATTTGTCACTGCTTCTTCAAATACACATGTATTATGCCCACTTCCTAGGATGTCTCATCCACGGAGCTGTTGGCATTTTGAACCAAATCTTTGTTGTGGAGCTCTGACCTGTGCACTGTAGGATGTTTAGCAGGATCCCTGGATTCAACCCATTGGATGCAAGTAGCAGCCCCCAATTTATAACCATCAAAAACGTCTAAGGATATTTGACAGATGTGTCCTGGAGAGCAAAATTGTCCTTGGTTGAGAAATACCCTAAAGATGAGCATAGTCAACTGATTTTATTTTATTGTTTGAAATCTGTGGCCAGGTTTTTATAGACTATTCACAATTTAATATTCTTTAACAGAGGCTATATCCTTATTTAAATCGAATAGTTTGGGTATTCTCATAATTGATGCCTTATTTGAATATGCCTTATTTTTTAATTTTTCCACCTTTTCATCCTTTTAAGTGAGTAAACCACTTTCTTTCATAATCACATCTTTTTTTACCTTATTTATTCCTTTTGGGCCCAAAACTTGCCTTTGACATTGCTTCATCCCTTCTTAATACTTATTTACATTAATGAATGCCTGTAATGGGCATGGCAATGGGCCAGGGACACAGAAACTAATACCATAGTTAGTAGTGGACAGACATCTATATGTGTGTTCAGTGCTTTGAAGGGCACATTGAAGGGGCATGAAACCTAGATTTTCATTAAGAAGAGGGATAGGAAAAATTTCTTAAAGATTCTGGGCATCTTATATGCATCTTTAACATCACACAGTACTGTTTAGTTCTTATACTAAGTAGAGCCAATTCTACTTACATTTCCAGTCACACCTGTTAGCATAAGATGGTCTAGCCCAGTGGTCGGCAAACTCATTAGTCAAAAGAGCCAAATAGCAACAGTACAATTATTTAAATTTCTTTTGAGAGCAAATTTTTTAAACTTAAACTTCTAATGCCACTTCTTCAAGCCACAGTTTGCCGACCATGGGTCTAGCCAACTTGAAAGATGTTTGCTTTAAGTGTAGGTATTTTATATTAAAATCTTCTCTCTATAAAGATTAAGCAAAAATCTGTCACATCACTTTATAGTCACATCTTATAACTTTTAAAGTCATGAGGACCAAGGAATTTGATTTTAAAAACAGAATTCTTCTATAAAAGTTGAGTATTTACTTACAGGCATTTCTTCTCTCCCCCCCCCCCCCCCGCCTCCTCCCCCCAAAGGGCTCTTTTCCAAGAAGTGGATTTTCATTCAAAGTTTTTTATCCTTCCAACAAGACAGTTGAAGATAGGTAAGTGTGCCCACTAAACTGGCAGAAAAAGCTCCTTCTTAGTGCTATATTGCTAAAGATCAAACGTTCTGTAGGCATGTTGAGGTTTTTATTTTATTTTTTTAAAATATATTTTATTGATTTTGTACAGAGAGGAAGGGAGAGAGATAGAGAGTTAGAAACATTGATGAGAGAGAGTCATCGCTCAGCTGCCTCTTGCACACCTCCTACTGGGGATGTGCCCTTGACAGAATCGAACCTGGGACCTTTCAGTCCCCAAGCCAATGCTCTATCCATTGAGCCAAACCGGTTTTGGCATGTTGAGGTTTTTAAAAATGTCTGCAGTCATCCATTGGGAATGTTCTAGGCTAAAGTTATTGTGGTCAAGCTGTGTGACATAGAATATTATGTATTTAATGGCGTGTTTCTGATGAAATAGATCAAGCATTGTTTTCTGAGGGAAATCTTGGACCAGTTATGGACGTGGGCTTGTTTTAATAATATGAGCATCATTAGAACTCACAGTCTGAGTTCTAATGATGCTCATATTATTCTGAGAGCACAGCCCTGCCCTCCACATGGTTGAGTCTCAAAACCTAGGTAATCTGTCTTACGTTTGCAGCAAATAATTTGGAAGGAGCTGGGTGCAAGTGTGGTGATGTGCAGGTGTTGGAGTTGGGGGAAAGTCTTGAGGTAAAAAAGAGAATAATCACCTGGTGGGTAGTGGTTTTCAAAGGGTGATCTAAAGATCACCTGCATCTGCCAAGACCGGTTTGGCTCAGTGGTAGAGCGTCAGTCTGCAGACTGAAAGGTCCCAGGTTCGATTCCGGTCAAGGGCATGTACATTGGTTGCGGGCACATCCCCAGTAGGGGGTGTGCAAGAGGCAGCTGGTCAATGTTTCTCTCTCATCAACGTTTCTAGCTCTCAATTCCTTTCTCCTCCTCTCTGTAAAAAAATCAATAAAATAAAAAATAAAAAAGAACACACTGGGCCGAAACCGGTTTGGCTCAGTGGTAGAGTGTTAAAGATCACCTGCATCAGAGTCCTTGAGAATCCTTGTTAAAAATATTGCCCTAGCTGGTTTAGCTCAGTGGATAGTGTTGACCTATGAACTGAAGGGTCTTGGGTTCGATTCTGGTCAAGGGCACATATATATATGATTTGCAGGCTTGGTCCCCAGTAGGTGGTGTGCAGGAGACAATCAGTGATTCTCTCTCTTTGATGTTTCTATCTCTCTCCTTCTCCCTTCTTCTCTGAAATTAATAAAAATATATTTAAAAGAATAAAAAAAGTTAAATTCTGGAATCCCATCCCACATTTAGCAAATGGTTTGCTCTATAGTTATAGGGCCCATAAATATGCATTTTGATGCTATGTCCCTTGGATTCAGGCATCCTAACATGTACTGTCAGTTAATCAAACATATTTTGAAAAAGCTCCACTTCTTGTTAAGAGCAAATAACCAGCCCTTGCTGGAGGTTCGATTGCTGATCAGGGCATATACCTAGGTTGCAGGTTTGATCACCCACTGGTCAGGGTGCTTATGGGAGACAGCCAATCTCTTCTCTTCTCTTCTCTTCTCTTCTCTTCTCTTCTCTTCTCTTCTCTTCTCTTCTCTTCTCTTCTCTTCTCTTCTCTTCTCTTCTCTTCTCTTCTCTTCTCTTCTCTCTCTCTCTCTCTCTCTCTCTCTCTCTCTCTCTCTTTCTTTCATTCTAAAATCAGTGAGAAACATATTCTTGGATAAGGATTAAAAAATATAAAAGAACAGATAACCAAATAACTGTCCTCTAGTTTCTTGTTAGAGAATATAATTTTGAACACACAGCTCAATTATAATTTTTATAATTAACAAATATATTAAAACCGCCGAAACCGGTTTGGCTCAGTGGTAGAGCGTCGGTCTGCGGACTGAAAGGTCCCAGGTTCGATTCCGGTCAAGGGCATGTGCATTGGTTGCGGGCACATCCCCAGTAGGGAGTGTGCAAGAGGCAGCTGGTCGATGTTTCTCTCTCATCGACATTTCTAGCTCTCTATCTCTCTCCCTTCCTCTCTGTAAAATATCAATAAAATATATATATTTAAATATATATATTAAAACCAATATCTCATGATAAAAAATTCAAAAGTGATTAAGAGTATAAAATTGAAAAAAAAAAAAAAAAAGAGCTCTGTAATACCTCTGCTTTCTAACCCTGAACCCATGATTAACAGTTTCTTGTACATATTTCTTTAAAAAAAAAAAAATGTGCATTGTTCCTTCTGCTCAATACTTATGGATGATTGAAGTCCATTCAGTTTATGAGATATTGTCTTATTTTTGGATTCATTCATTTTTACATATATATGACTAGAGGCCCAGTACATGAAATTCGTGCACTGGTAGGGTCCCTAGCTGCTGTTGGCCGGGTACGCCCTTCTGCGGGCCCGCCCCCTGGTCAAACTCCCAGAATAACTCCGGTAGGGGAACAATTTGCATACTCTGCTTTTATTATATAGGATTCTTAATATGTTTCAAGCATTGCTTAGTTTTTGGAATATAACCAGATACTTGAATAAAGGTTTTTAATCCATAAGTCTGACATGTGTCAGTCTTTATCTAACCCACATTGAATCCTAGCTGGTTTTGGTTCAGTGGATAGAGTGTTGGCCTGCGGACCAAAGGGCTCTGAGTTCACTTCCAGTGAAGTGCATGCACCTTGGTTGCAGGCTCCTCCCTGGCCTGTGCAGGAGATAACTGATCAATATGTTTCTCTCACATCAACATTTCTGTCTTTCGTCTCTCCGAAAAACCAATAGAAAAATATCAAGTGAGGATTTAAAAAAAAAAAATTTTTTTTTAAAGAATTGATAGGGGCAGTGCGGGCGTGGCGGGCAAGCAGGGGCCGGCCGAGGCGATCGCCATGCGGGCTACCATGACCACAGACGAGCTAGCAGCAAGCTGAGCCAGCGGCTGCAGATGGAGGGCGAGGGCGAGGGCAGCGGCGAGGCGCTGGGCAGCGCAGATGAGCTGAGCGCCAAGCTGCTGCGGCGGCCGACTCAACCAGGGCATCGGGAGCCCCAGTCGCCCAGCCGCCGCGTCTTCAACCCTACACCGAGTTCATGGAGTCCTCCAGGAAGCAGATCAAGGACATGGAGATGTTCAAGCAATGTGACGCCGGCCGATGGCTTCATCGACCTGATGGAGCTCAAGCTCAGGATGGAGAAACTTGGAGCCCCCCAGACCCTACTGGGCCAGAAAAACATGATCAAAGAGGGGGACGAGGACTTGGACAGCAAGCTCGGCTTCCGGGAGTTCCTCCTGGTTTTCCGCAAGGCGGTGGCCGGGAGCTGCAGGACAGCGGGCTGCCGGTGCTGGCCGCCTCTCCGAGATCGACGTCTCCACCGAGGGCGTCAAGGGGGCCAAGAGATTCTATGAGGCCAAGGTCCAGGCCATCAACGTGTCCAGCCGCTTCAAGGAGGAGATCAAGGCGGAGCAGGCGCGGAAGAAGCAGGCGGAGGAGATGAAGCAGCGAAGGCGGCCTTCTAGGAGCTGCAGTCCACCTTCAAGTAGCGGGGCTGGGCCCGCCGGCCCGGCCCCCGCCCAGAAACCAGTCTGGCTGGCAAGGGAGGTTGTGGGGGGGGCAAGTGGAGGCTGAGCTGGGGTCCTATCCTGAAACTTACAAACCTCTGTGAACACAGCCCGTCGAGGCTCTTGCAGGGGTGGCCGGGCCTCTCGGGCTCTCTGCCATGTTCCTGAGGCTGCGCCCCCAGCCCTGGCTCCCGGCCTGGCCCAGCCCCCTGCATCCCTGCCTCTCGCACCCCTGGCTGCCCTTGCCTGCTCCAGCGCTGCTCTCTGCCCCTGAGCCTGCCAGCCACACACGCCGCTCCCCGACACCTCTCCTGCCCAGAGGCCACCTGCCCTTATCCGGCAGGCCACACCGCCCCTTCCTAGACTGGGGGAGCAACAAATGGCAAGAATTTCGGCTGGCTTGTGTAGTAGCCCTGGCTTCATTTTTTCAGACCTGTATTTTCGCCTGACCTGAGTTTCCTCATTCTCTTAGTTTTATCTTTTTACTAGAGGCCTGATGCATGAAATATGTGCAAGGGGCTTGGCCCTCACAGCTGAGGCTGCGTCCAGAAGGTCATCCAATCTAATTAGCATATTATGCTTTTATTATTGTAGATTACATCTATCTGCAAACCATTTACTGTGTTTTAATGAGTTGGAATGTAAACAAATAACCCTCAATTGATTTATTATGATAGCATAAGAAACTTCAGTTACATTTCTTATAATGTTCCCTGATTGCCATGTAGAATTGTTTTGTATTCTAAGCACTTCATACAGATTTCTGTGGTGGTACTTTTTTTTTTTTTTTTTTTTTCCTTTTTTTACAGAGAGGGAGAGGGACAGAGAGCCAGAAACATCGATGAGAGAGAGACATCGACCAGCCGCCACCTGCACATCCACCACCGGGGATGTGCCTGCAGCCAACGTACATGCCCTTGACCAGAATTGAACCTGGGACCCCCCAGTCCACAGACCGATGCTCTATCCACTGAGCCAAACTGGTTTCGGCTCTGTGGTAGTTCTTAACAGTGTATTATAAATCACTTATGTGCCTACCCATCTTAAAAATTTCTAGCACAGTAGTACACGACTTGCATTTTGTTGAGTTAAAATAGTTGTTTCTTGCCAAAACCGGTTTGGCTTAGTGGATAGAGCATCAGCCTGAGGACTGGAGGGTCCCAGGTTCGATTCCGGACAAGGGCATGTACCTTGGTTGCGGGCATATCCCCAGTGCAGGGGGTGCAGGAGGCAGCTGATCAATGTTTCTCTCTCATCGATGTTTCTAACTCTCTATCCCTCTCCCTCCCTCTCTGTAAAAAATCAATAAAATACATATTTTTTAAAAAAATAGTTGTTTCTTTTCTTCTGTAGTCTCAGATACTGAAAACCTTGGCATAATTTTCAAACTATAATTAGTATAAGTAATTAGAGGAATCTTTTCAGTTCTGGATCAGTGATGCATGTTTTTTGAGAGAATGAAACATTTTCAAGATATAATGAAATAATTTGGTCTTCCTGCTTCTCCTTAGAAGAAATCTTTTGTTAGAATAATTGTAAAATCATATTGTAGAGTTAATTATTGAAATGTAGTGAAAGTAGATAAGGTTAACTCTGTTTCAATGAGTACTATACTTTAAAACACAGTATTGCTGATGTAGTAGAGAAATACATACTCTCCCATTGGTCAGAATAAAAAATGGTAAAAACTTTTATGGAGGGCAGTCTGGCAAGATTTCTTAAGACCTAACCTGCATATACCAGCAATTCCATTTCTAAGAATTTATCCTACAGATATACTTGGGCATATGCATAAAAAAGGGTACAACTGTTTTTTATGTAGTTTTTAGACTAGCAAAACAAACATTTAAATACATATCCATTTAAATGTATATGCTTACTTAGAAGTATATTTATTACTAATTGAAAAAGATATAGTGTTCATAGTATTCTATCACTTATATGGATGTTTTATAGCATATACCCACAGAAACATGCATATACACTGAGTGGCCAGATTATTATAATATCTGAATGTATAATAATCTGGCCACTTAGCATGTGTGTGTGTGTGTGTGTGTGTGTGTGTGTGTGTGTGTGTGTATTTATTTTAGAGGACCGGTGCATGAAGTCGTACATGGGTGGGATCCAGCCATGGGTGGGATCCGGCCATGGGTGGGATCCAGCCAGGGAGAGGGGAAATGGGCGGTTGGCAGGCTGTCTGCTGGTCGAACTCTTGGTCGAGGAGACAATTTTCATATTAGCCTTTAATTATATAAGATGTACACTGAGTGGCCAAATTATTATGCATTCAGAGATCATAATAATCTGGCCACTCCTGTATATGATTAGACGATCTTTTATATTTATTTTATAAGAATATATTTTGTAAGGCTATTCATTTGCTTCTGGGAGTAGAAACAGTGTGAGACTGACATTTTTGTCCGGCACCTTTTCAATTTGGAACAATATGCATGTTTTTAAATTTAATTAACTAAACCTAAATATTAAGACATGTACAATAACTTAGATTTCTAAAATGTTTCATTTTCCTTTTTCAGCAAACTTCAAGGTTTTTGAGATTCTTGAACACCATCGAAGAAACAAAACTCATCGATTTTCTGTTTAATTTTATATTTTATGTAACTTTGATATTAGGTTATAATAAAATTATGGTAAACATTAGAATATTGTTTAAATTTATATTATATGAGATTTTGATATTATTATAATAAACATGATGGCATCTTTATAAGGTTTTATAGGGAAAACATTTTCTAATCTTTTAAAAATATGAAAATATGTATAAAGATGTAATCTAGTTATACATTTGCACCTAAAAACTGATCTTTTATTATTTCTATACTGGTCGTATGCTAATGTTCATTTTAAGAAAAAGATATTTTGGATCATTATTTTTTTATTTATTTTTTTACATTTATTTTATTTTATTTTATTATTTTTTTAAATCAATCTTTATTGTTCATATTATCACAAAGGTTCCTCATTTCTTCCCCCCTCCACCAGGTTCCCACCCCACCCTCCGCCCCCTCCCCATCTCCCATTGTCCTTATCCATAGGTGCACAGTTCATGTTCAGTCTCTTCTTCCCTCCCTTTCCCCGATAGTAAATCCCTTTTCAGATAGTAAATCAGTTACTTAGCATTTTCTCATATCAATAATACCTCCACATGCCCAATGATACACTTCACACAAAAGACATTTCCCAATAGGTCAGCTAGCTTCATCCAGGCCCCACCCAAGGCACTCACAGATCAACACCCCAGCCCTATACTAACTCAACACATCCAGATCTAAGCCTTCATCACTTGATTCAGCAGACCCTCAAGTTCCCGCGAAAGTTTCCAGCCATGTCTGAGAGGCAGCCGTGGGGCAGGGGCAGGCAAGGAGTGAGCTGTTCCGGGCCTGGTGCTCAGGGCCTGGCCTCTGTTGCTCTGGTTCGTTCCACAACCAGCTGCTCCGGGTCTGGTCACTGCTGCTCCCGACCTAGTTGCTCTGGACTTGGCTGCTGCTGCTCCGGGCCTGGCCGCTCCCAGCCTGGCAGCCGCTGCTCCGGGCCTGGCCACACACGACCCGGCTGCTCTGGGCCTGGCTGCTCCCAGCCTGGCAGCCGCTGCTCCAGGCCTGGCCACACCAGCCCCGGCTGCTCCCCCGGGCCTGGCCGCTCCCAGCCTGGCAGCCGCCGCTCCGGGCCTGGCCACACCCGACCCGGCTGCTCCCCCGGGCCTGGTGGATCATTATTTTAGTTTAATGTAAGTTTTTATCACTATAAGTTCTTAAGAGTGTGTCTGACCATTTTAAAACTGTTTGCATTTCAAATCACAGAATTTATTCTAATGATAGTTGAAACTCTTTGTTTCATGATAATACTGTGATATTCATTACATAATTATCTTTTGGCACTGGAAATTTAAAAACACAATTCCCTTAGTTTTTACATTTAGAAGACATGTTTACTTTGAAGCAGCATGTTTTGCCACATTGGCTGTAATTACTCAACATTTTTAGTTTATGGTATTACAATAACCCAGAAATAAATCTGAATGACAGGAATTTAGAGTACAAAGAGTGTTTCAAATATAGGAGTAACCTAAATATTATAAAAAGCCTGGCATTGAAAATACATATTTTCTTGGAAATGCTTTTTCAGGAAAAGGTGATTAAAAAAAAAAAAACAAGCCGGGACCGGTTTGGCTCAGTGGATAGAGCGTCGGCCTGCGAACTGAAAGGTCCCGGGTTCGATTCCGGTCAAGGGCATGTACCTTGGTTGCAGGCTCATCCCCAGTGGGGGGTGTGCAGGAGGCAGCTGGTCAGTGTTTCTCTCTCATCGATGTTTCTAACTGTCCCTCTCAATTCCTCTCTATGTAAAATCGATAAAATATATATATTTTTAAATGACATTAAAGGGAAAATTCCTCAAGAAAATTTAATGTGAATGTGATAAGTGAATCAGCAGTTAAGGATGAAATGGTAATTTGAGATGAGGTTTGATGATGGAAAATTCAGGGAGAATGTCAGAAGAGGCCTGATATTAGAAAAACATGATTTAACTTTAATTTCAAGTAGCCTGGAATAATTGAAATAGAAGTGAAATCAAGCCCCAGCTGATTTGGCTCAGTAGATAGAACATCAGCCTGTGGACTGAAAGGTCCTGGGTTTGATTCTGGTCAAGGGCATGTACCTTGGTTGCAGACTCCTCCCTGGCCTGGGCCCTGATCAAGGAAAAATATCCTTAAGTGAGGATTTAAAAAAAAAAAAAGTTAAATCAAGGCATAAGTTCAAAAGTTACTAGTTTAGCTAAGACCGGTTTGGCTCAGTGGATAGAGCGTCAGCCTGCGGACTGAAAGGTCCCAGGTTCAATTCCAGTCAAGGGCATGTACATTGGTTGCAGGCACATCCCCAGTAGGGGGTGTGCAGGAGGCAGCTGATCGGCGATTCTCATCGATATTTCTAACTCTATCCCTCTCTCTTCCTCTCTGTAAAAAATCAATAAAAAATATATTTAGCCAGAACCGGTTTTGCTCAATGGATAGAGCGTTGGCTTGTGGACTGAAGGGTCCCGGGTTTGATTCCGGTCAAGGGCATTTACCTTGGTTGTGGGCATATCCCCAGTAGGGGGTGTGCAGGAGGCGGCTATTGATGACTCTCGTCAATGTTTCTCTCTCCCTTCCTCTCTGTACAAAATCAATAAAATATATTAAAAAAAAAAAAAAATATATATATATATATATATATATATGTATGTTACTAGCTTACTTGGGAAAAAATTATAATTTGAGCCTTCAAAGAGGTAGTGAAATAGACACAAGGTTGTTTGTCCAGTTAGAACCACAGAGCTAAATATGTAAGATGATGGGTAGAAAGTTATAAGTGTAAACTGAGTACAAGGTGTCCCTGCATTCATTAACTCATTCATTTGGCAGATAATTGCTTCCATATATAAAGATGAGCTACTTGAGACTTTTTCAGGAACACAGTTAATGGATAGAAAGATAGGGTGTATTTAGGAGTTAGCAATGTGAAATGAGATGAAACAAAACAATTATTTAAGAGCAGAAAAGTTGCCAGAACCAGGCAGTAAGTATCAGATAAGACAGGAACTAGAATTAGGTGGGGATCAGCATCATCAGAAATTAAAAGGAAGCAGAGGTCTGAAGGGCAGCCCTGAAAGAATCCTGGGCTTCTACTGCAGGTAAAAACAGAGGTGGTGTGCTCTCATTTGGTGTCTTAATCAGCTGAAACAGGCTGATCTCACGGCAGAAATCTGGGTATGAAAGGCATTTTCATGTGATGGTATGCCTCAGAGCAGGGGCCAGGTAGACCCCACAAGACAGGTATGGGTAAGATTTCTCTAGGGTGAGAAAAGCAACACTTGGTCTCTGTGTGGGAAAACCACAGGAAGTGCCTGGAACTGTACAGATGAGCACCCAGTTGCTGGTCAGTAGGTCTCAGACCATTTACTCTGGATCTCTATGCCCAATAGTTGGCATGCAATATTTGTGGGAGGGCCGAAACCAGTTTGGCTCAGTGGATAGAGCGTCAGCCTGCTGACTGAAAGATCCCATTTTTGATTCCAGTCAAGGGCACGAACCTTGGTTGTGGGCACATCCCCTGTAGGGGGCGTACAGGAGGCAGCTGATTGATGTTTCTCTCTCCCTTCCTCTCTGTAAAAAAACAATAAAATTTTTTAAAAATATTTGTGTGTGGGGGGGGGTAAATTAAAGCAGGTTGGACTAAGGAGTTAATAACTGATAATGGCTTTAATACCCAGTCCATCTCCCTTGAAAGGCATCCATATTTTAATAAGGATAATTTTTCCTTAAGGGATGCATTTTAGAAAAAAAAAAAGGAAAGAAAGAAAATCATTTGTTTGGGGCACAGTAGCTTCTCAACTACATTTTTTCCCAAAGAGCTGTTGGGAAAGGAACTGCCACATAGCAAGAAATTTGGGAAGGTGGAGGGCATGGATCCTTAGAAAATCTAATTAAAACTAAGATCCCTTAGAAAAACCAGCATGAGCCTACCCCCTCTTATAATTTCACATATAATTTCAGAGGGCTCAGGAACTTTGAAGGCCATTCTCATTCCCAAACAGGTGTGGTTTGTCGTCATGTGTGTGGTGTCATGTGTTCATGTTTGGTAATATCATTAGGATGAAACTTGTCCAGTATTTTGAAGATGACAAAGGTACCAAAATAAACTGAAACCAATCATTGGGTATGTTCACTGACATCAGGGTTATAACAGAAAATACATCCTCAGTGGAGCGTCAGCCAGTCCTGGGTTCAATTCCAGTCAAGGGCACTTACCTCGATTATAGGCTCCTCCCCAGTCCAGATCCTGGTCCTGGTCAAGACGCGAACAGGAGGCAACCAATTGATGTGTTTCTCTCCCACTGCTATTTTTTTTTTTTTTTGCTGTGTGTGTGTTTAATACATTTTATTATTTTTTACAGAGAGAAAGGAAGAGGGATAGAGAGCTAGAAACATCAATGAGAAACATCAATCAGCTGTCTTCCACACACCCCCTCCTGGGGATGTGCCCACAACCAAGGTACATGCCCTTGAATGGAATTGAATCTGGGACCTTTCAGTCCGCAAGCTGACACACTATCCACTGAACCAAACCGGTTTCAGCTCACATTGGTATTTCTCTCTTTACCTCTTTCTTCCACTCTCTAAAATCAATGGGAAAATATTGAATGAGGATTTATAAAATTAAATTTAAAAAATGAAAAAAGGGCTAGGGGAGGAGAAAGAAGAGATAGATGAGAAAAAGGAGAGAAAGTGAAAGGAAGATACGTTTAGCCCAGTGTGGCTGAGCAGTTGACCCAAGAACCAAGCACTCTCCAATTTGATTCCTGATCAGGACACCGGGTTTCCAGCTTGATCCCCTGTAGAGGGCATGCCCATCGATGATGTTTCTCACCAATTTTTCTATATCTCTTTCTTCCTCTCTAAAGTTCAATTAAAAAACCAGTATCCTATATAATAAAGAAGTGATATGCAAATTGGCCCTCACCCTCTCATCACAAGATGGCCACCACAAGATGGTTGCCTCCACGTTGTCACAACATGGCCAGCAGGAGAGGGCAGTTGGGGTGACCAAGCCTGCAGGGGTGGGCAGTTGGGGGTGACTGGGTCAGCAGGGAAGCAGTTAGGTGTCAATCAGGAAAGCAGGGGAGTGGTTAGGGTGCTATCAGACAGGCAGACAGTGGAGTGGTTAGGAGCCAGCAGTCTCAGATTGTGAGAGGAATGTCTGACTGCTGATTTAGGGATTGGGCCTAAACCAGCAGTCAGACATCCCCTGAGGGGGCCGAGATTGGACGAGGGTGCAGGCTGAGCTGAGGGACAACCCTCCAGTACACAAATTTCATGCACCAAGCCTTTAGTATTTAAATAAAAGCACACTGAAAAATGTTTGAAGTATGATATACCTACCTAAAAATCCCACTATCACCCTAACTGGTTTGGCTATAATGGATAGAGCCAAATTGCTGGCCTGATTGACACCTAACTGCTTCATTCGGATTGAAAGGTCTAGCCTGCGGTCTGAAAGTCCCAGGTTCGATTCCAGTCAATGGCATGTACCTTGGTTGCGAGCATATCCCCAGTAGGAGGTGTGCAGGAGCCAGCTGATAGATGTTTCTCTCATTGATGTTTCTAACTCTCCCTCTCCCTTCCTCTGTAAAAAAAAAAAAAAAATGAAAATGTATGGGGGGTAAAAAAAACTATCAATGTATAATACAGCTTAATATATTTTTACAAACTGCAAATCTTGTTACCAGGATGAAGAAATGGAATGTTACCCTCACCCCAGAAGCTCACTTGTCCTCTACAATCACAACACTCCACTCACCCTCAAAAAGACAATTATGTCCTGAGCATCAACTATGAAACAGGTGGTCACAGTTCAATTCCAATTGGGGTACATGCATGGATTGTGGGCTTGATCCCACGTGTGGGGCAGGCAGGAGGCACCAACTGGTGATTCTTTCTCATCATTGATGTTTCTCTCTCCCCCTTACTCTCTGAAATCAAAAATATATTAAAAGCTTTTGTTTGCTTTGCTGAGGACATTCACAAGTAATTTCCTGAAAAAGAGGGGGTGTATGAGAGCCATGAGGGGTACACTTCAATCACGAATCTTGCCTCAAGATGTTGCCATAGAGTATTAGAAACAGAAAAATGACCTTGAGACTGGAGACAGAATAAACTGGTGGTGATGCTTGGGTGTGACATATTTATGACCCCAAGGACCACTGGGATTATGTTGTCATTAAGACTTTCCCCTTCATCAGTCCATTCACCTGCCTAATCTTCAGCTATAGTCATGTTATATTATGATGATTACCATTTCCCTTTATTACACAAATGAAAAAAATGCTATTGGAACATGCTCAAACTGGTAAAATTATTAAAGACCTCCCACAATTCTACCACCTAAGAGATGACTGACTACAGTAAATCTCTTGGGAGGTATACCAATCCCAGGAAGTGAATGGCTGAGAATATATAAACATCATTAAAACATATGGGCCTCCTCTTCCACCCATGCTCTCTATTAATTGACTTGTAGAACATTTTACATTTTACCATGGTAATTTGTTCAATAGCTATAAATTATACACACACACACACACACACACACACACACATATATGTTGTGTGTTTTTTAAGACAACCACTAGCCCGACTTTTAACATATTTTGCCAGGTTTTGTCTATTATATAAGGAAATCATAAGTATGTATGTTATATTTGGTTTCTCACATTATGTCATTGATATTCATCCACATTGTTTACTCATGTTCATTGTAGATATATATTCTATTATTGATGGGAATGTGGGTAGTTCCCACTATTTGTCTATTACAAATAATGCTGTTAGGAATATACAAAATCTAGTCTATGTCTTTTGCTAGGAATAGAATTTCTTAGTCATAAGAGATATATTATATTTAACAGCAATTTTCCATAGTGATTGACTCAATAGACGCATCCAGCAGACAAGTGTGCCAGTTGCTTTACATGTTTGGGGCATAATGATTTTGTTTTGTTCCAGTGCCTAGAACAGTGCCATCCTTAAACAGTAGGTACAACAAGTTTCCAATTATGTTGAATGAATCTGAACATAGATGGCATTTAAAACTATAGGCTTCAATGAGATTGTCTTGGAAGAAGTATGATTAGATAAGGCTGATGAGTAAGCCTTGGGTGACTCCTTCATTTAGAGAACTGGCAGATGGGGAGCAAGTAGAGGAAGAAGAAAATGGGAGAGCGTGAAATTCTACAAACCAAGAGAAACATGTTCCAAGGGGGCACAGACAACCGCTTGAATGCTGTGAAGAGATGGTTAAGATACAGTGCAGAAAGTGTCAGGAGTTCTGTTTTTGGTCATTTCAAGCCTTAAGAATTTAAGCATTAAATCATTCAAGTGGAGACCTTAAATGGGCAACTGACTATAGGAATTTAGAGTTTAGAACCTGATATGTAAGTCTGGTATTTATGAATGAAACTTTGTGAAAGAGATAGTGTAAATGGAAGAGATGGGGACCCAGCCTTGACGCATGATGCATTTCCTCTTACAAGCTGAACAGAGGTAAACACCTGCAAAGCAGTGTTAAGTGTCTGATAAGGTAGGAAAGAAGTCTGAAAGTATTTTGTCACCGACATCAATTGTGTGAAATGTTGGTGAGTTTTAACAAAACAAGAACAGGAAAATAATCTCTCGGATTTAACTACTAATAACTACTCTAGTCAATACTCTTCTATAACATTACTTTGAGTGGCTGCAAAGAATCCCATTGTATGGCTGTACCAGAATTTGCTCACCTAGTCTCACTATTGAATCCTTCAATTCCTCCCATATCTTTAGAATCATAAGCAGAGTTCTCTAGAGCATGTTTTAGAGTTGGAATTCTAGATCAAGAAATTATAAACCTTGTATTTTTCATTTATTTTAATATGTTCTTTTTTATTAATTTCAAAGAGGAAGAGATAGAAACATGGATGAGATAGAATCATTGATTGGCTGCCTCCTGCACCCTGGGCATATGCCCTTGATGGGAATCGAACCTGGGACCCTTAATCCGCAGGTCGATGCTCTATTCACTGAGCCAAACCGGCTAGGGCTTAAAAGCTTTTTATACAGCTACCAAACCATGCTCTAGAAAGGTTTTACTAAGTTCTATCATGACCCAAAGGATACAGTAATTGGAAAAAAAAACAAAAACTCTGCCATTTTGACAGGTGTCATGCGGTATCTTAAGAAGTCTTACATGGCCGAAACCGGTTTGGCTCAATGGTAGAGCGTCAGTCTGTGGACTGAAAGGTCCGGGGTTCGATTCCGGTCAGGGGCATGTACGTTGGTTGCAGGCACATCCCCGGTAGGAGGTGTGCAAGAGGCAGCTGGTAGATGTTTCTCTCTCATCGACGTTTCTAGCTATCTTTCTCCCTTCCTCTCTGTAAAAATCAATAAAATATATTTAAAAAAAAAAAAAAGTCTTACATGTTTGTTGATCGGTATGGCAAAATATTCAGAAGATTGGCCTAGCCCGTTTGGCTCAGTGGATAGAGTGAGGAGGGCCTCCGGACTGAAGGGTGCAGGTTTAACTCCCCCCAACCTGCACATGCCTACGTTATAGGCCCCATCCCCTATAAGGGACGTGGAGGAGGCAGCCAATCAATTATTCCCTCTCATCATTGATGTTTCTCTCTCTCCCTCTCCCTTCTTCTCTGAAATAAAAAAAAAATATCCATTACAAAAAATATTCAGAAGATTGAAATATTGGTTTAGTGAAATGAAAAACATACACAGATGCACAAAAGTATGACAGCTTGTGAATGCACGAGTTACCCTGGTTGGGTAACTTCTCAGGTCCTATCTTGTCTGTGAAATGGGGATCAGTTCTATTTTGAAGTGTTATGAAGTATGATATCTATATGCTGGAAATTATGACAATTATGATGGCTTTTCTAATGCAAAATAACTGTGCTATGGCACAGGCATCTAAAAAACAGACTGTAGGGTAGTTGGTTGGTTGGTTTGAAGCAACTAAGACGCTATTTCTGGCATTTCCACCATCCCACTCCAATCCCTTGCCTCCTCCCCCTCCTGCGCGGCGGTGGTGTCACCATGGCAATAAGCACGCGCCCCAAGCACAATTCTCTGGCAGTTGCTGACCTCGGCGCTAACTGGCCTTGGTCCTGCGACTCCGAGGCGCTTCCCCCTCTCTCGGGTGCCTGCGGGCCGGGGCTGAGGAGCAGCATGGCCAAGGCGGCAGCCTCTTCGCCGCTAGAGGACCTGGATCTGAGCGGAGAGGAGGTGCAGCGGCTCACCTCCGCCTTCCAGGACCCGGAGTTCCGGCGTCTCTTTTCCGAGTACGCCGAGGAGCTCACGGACCCCGAGAACCGGCGGCGCTACGAGGCGGAGATCACGGCGCTGGAGCGTGAGCGCGGAGTGGAGGTGCGGTTCGTGCACCCGGAGCCCGGCCACGTGCTGCGCACCAGCCTGGACGGGGCGCAGCGCTGCTTCGTGAACGTGTGCGGCAACGCGCTGGTGGGCCCGCCCGCCGGCCGGCCCGGCCCCGGGGGCGCCGGCAGCCAGTGGTCCCTGCCGCACAGCCTGGCGCCCGGCCGCGAGTACGCCGGGGCCCGCGGCTCCCGCTACACCGTCTACGACGTGGTCTTCCACCCCGACGCGCTGGCGCGGGCCCGGCGCCACGAGCGCTTCCGCCAGATGCTGGACGCCACGGCGCTGGAGGCCGTGGAGAGGCAGTTCGGCGTGAAGCTGGACCACAGGAACGCCAAAACCCTCAAGATCAAGTACAAGGGGACTCCGGAGGCCGCGGTGCTGCGCACGCCCCTCCCCGGGGGCGCCCCGGCCCGGCCCGAGGGGGCGCTGGAGAGCTCTTTCCCAGACTTTCCCTACCCCTACGGCAGCCCGGCCGCCCCGACCCCCGCGCGGCCCCCGCCCTCCGCGCCGGAGGCGGCCCCGCAGCCCGCCCCCACGGAGCCCCGCCACAGGGTGGTGCAGCGCCACCGCGTGGACCTGCAGGACTACCGCTGCTCCCGGGACTCGGCGCCCAGCCCGGTGCCCCAGGAGCTGGTGGTCACCATCGAGCTGCCGCTCCTGCGCTCGGCCGAGCAGGCGGCGCTGGAGGTGACGGGAAAGCTGCTGTGTCTGGACTCGAGGAAGCCCGACTACCGGCTGCGGCTCTCGCTCCCGTACCCGGTGGACGACAGCCGCGGCAGGGCGCAGTTCAACAGGGCGCGGCGGCAGCTGGTGGTCACGCTGCCCGTGGCGCGGCCCGTGGCGCCGGGGCCCGCCGCCGCCGGCACTTCCGCCCGCAGCGGAGACGCGGGCCCGCCGGGGGGCCGTTCTGGGGGAGAGGACGCCGGGACCGGCACCCCGGAGGCCGCCGGGGAGGAACTTGTCTCCGAGCCGGAAGGGGACTGCGGTGGGCGAGCGGTGGCTCCTTCCGGTGCCGAGAAGCCGCTTCCCGGAAGTGGGAGCGCGGCCGGGGCCCTCGCCAGGGGCTCTTCCGCCGGAAGGCGTGTGAGCGGACATCTGAGCGGAGGGAGCCGCGGGGCCGGGGAGGACGCCGGCGGGGCGCCCTCTGCTCCAGCCATGGGCGGCCCCGGGACGGCCCGCGGGCGGCCTCGCTGTCCGCCGCTGCAGTGTCGTCAGGATGAAGAATCCCTGACGCTGCTCATTCAAGTGCCTCGGATCCAGCCGCAAAGCCTTCAAGGGGATGTGAGCTCCCTCCGGTACCAATTGTGCTTCTCCACCCAAGACTTAGTTTATTATTCCTTCTTTTTGCAGTTTGCTCCTGAAAATAAATTGAGTATCAAAGAACCAGTGGTTAGCATCTCTTCAAACAATGCGGTAATAGAACTGGCCAAATCTTCAGAATGCTGTGGACATTGGAGAGAGTGGTATTATGGTTTAAACGACGATTCTTTGGAGGTAACAGTTCTTTCTCGAGTCTTAGTATTTGAAGTATTCCATCCTACTTTCAAAATTACAGCCTCTCAGTTCATTAGAACTTCTCTCGAAATTACTTGAAGTTGATACACGTGATGAAAGATGTCAGTGCACGTTAAACGCATGCTGGAAAACACACACACACACATCCCTTCAAAATTGTCCTTACTGCATTTTCCCCCTGGAATCCATTGACTGAGGAGAACCTCTCAGATCGTATGCTTTCTTCTGGGCAGAAGGGCTATAACTTTAGTCATATTCTCAAAGAGTTGATGACCAATTAGAGTTTGAGAAGCACTCTGTTAGGGCCGTATTTTAAGTTGGTAATATTGTCCAACCTTAGAAAATAAACAGCTTACTTCCAGAGAGCAAAAGTCATTTAGCGAGGTGTCAATCTAAATTCCCTGCCATTGCGACCACACAGTGCTGCTTGATTTTAGTGGCTGATTTTGGTAGGGTTGTCCTCAGGTGGTTTTTATGTTTATTGAAATTACATGTGTTTTTGCATCTGTTTTAATCATCTAGTATTTTGCACAGTGGCTGGCATTTAACAGTGTAATATAAACTACGGGCAAGTGCTGAAAAAAAAATTAAATTTGAAGTTCTAAAGAACTTGGCAAACTCAAAAATGAACAATTAGTGGTTTTGATTGACGTCTGTATCAGTGTTAATGTAAATTTTAAAGCTTTTAAAATGAATATTCAAGGGTTTAATTCCCAGAAACAACACAAATTGCATAGATTATATATTTAAATTATATTAAAAATTAAACCTGCCAGAAATTTCCACTTCTTCCCATTGTTTTTCTAGAAACTTACTAAATTATATTTACATTTTATGAGGTATCTTCTGTGAGAAGTGGTTAATTTGAAAGCCTCTAAAAGTGATAAAGTAACTGAACACCAGCCAGGGCTAGGTAAAATACTTTGTGATAATATAAAATAGGAAATTGACTATCTGTTTATGTCATTCGAAGGGAAAATTTAGGAAAGGGCAGTCGTTTTCCTGTAATTGTCTTAATAAATGTGAAAATAACAATATGGGAAGAAAGCTTTGCTGACAAGCAGTTGAGAAAATACTAAAGAATATATTTTAATCTGATTTTCTAGTATGATAACATTATTTTAACAAAGAAACCAGACAAATGAGATTATGGTGACTGTGTTGTATCTTTGAAGCCTAAAATAAATTTATAATTTCTTCATTAATAATCACATTTCCTAAGGCTGACAACAAATGTTTTTTTATTTTACAGTTCACTGTCAATGGACCATGTTCTTACTAAATTTCCAAAACATCACAAAAGTAGCCCTGGCTGGTGTTCAGTTGGTTGGGAAAGGGTGGGGGCATGCAGGAGGCAGCCAATCCATGTTTCACTCTTCACTCTCACATAGATGCTTCCCTCTCACTCTCCCTTCCACTTTCTTGAAAATTAATAAATAAGGAAAAATCACAAGAGTAGTAAGTAGGTGGGTAGATAGATAATATATTACACATTATATGAAAATAATTATAATGTAAGGTTGATTTGTGGCTGTCCAGTTCACAATTATTACTTTACACATAAACAAGTACAACATATATAAGCCTGAAATATTTACTGGGAATTTTTCTAAAGCTTTAGGACTACTGCATACAGTATCTTTTATAGTAAAATCAGCTATCAGAATGTGAAGATAATTTTCTGCAAATTGTATTTTAGTCATAACCATTTTCATTCTAAATATTATTTTTCCTTGGGTAAACTTAAAACTAAACTATGTGGTATATATCTTTACAATTAATTTGTCTTTTCCAGAGATAGGAAACTTAGAAATGCTTTTTATGGGGTGTCTTTATAATACAGTGTTATTCTGGATCTTCAAATAATAGCAAGGCAAATTACTCTAAAACTTTTATTTTTGTTCCTAGGATTCCCTTGTTTGGTAGATGTTACCAAGTTCAAACACTGTTTAATAGAAGGAAACCTGAAACTTGTCTCTTTCATATTTTCTTTCCTCATTTTGACTAAATAATGAACTTATTAAATTTATGTATATGAAAGTACAGAGAAAAATACTTTGGGCAACAATGAACTTATGTTATGAATATAGTTATACTTTTAATGCCCTAACAATATTCCTGTATTCGCTTGACATAAATATGAAGAAATGGCTTTGTGTTTGGGATTTTTGTGAATGTGATTTTTGCATTTCCTAATAGTTTGGAAAACTATCTCATTCTTCTAAGTAGCTATATGCTGGAGTCACACTGGATTATCTCATTGCTTAAAAGTAAAATATGCTTCTTTTACATAAAATATTACACTTAGCTCTTACCTGAACCAGAACTAAAAGACAAACTGTTCACACAAAATTTTAATAGAGCCTGTCGTGTATTTCTTGGCTGATTCATTAAGATGTGTTGTAAGCCCTAGCCAGTTTGGCACAGTGGACACTGTTGGCCTTAAGTTTTCCAGGTTCAATTCTGATCAAGGGCACATAGCTTGGTTGCAGGCTCCTCCTTGGCCCAGGCCCTGGTCCAGGCTGTGCAGGAAGCAACCAATCAATGACTTTCTCTCACATCAATATCTCTTTCTCTTTCCCTCTCTCTTCAAAAGTATCATCAAAAAAAAAAGGTTATATATTTCTCATAAAATATTAAAGAGAAAAAATTTTTAAAATGTAATTTTTAATTTAGATTTTCTAAGATAAAACATACCTAGATCAAGAAACTAAGAGTAACTGAACTTTTTCTTTTAGGTATGTACTCTTGCTATTTTTAAAAATATATTTTTACTGATTTCAGAGAGAAAAAGAGAGGGAGAGAGAGGTAAATACATCAGTGATGACAGAGAACCACTGATCAGCTGCTTCCTGCACAACCCCCACTGGAGATTGAGGCATGTACCCTGAACAGGAATTAAACCATGACCTCCCGATTCATAGATGGACGCTCAACCACTGAGCCACACTGGCTGGGCACTCTTGCTGTGTACAGACTGTTTTCTTTTGCCAAAAAAACATAGGAATAACAGATATTTATTTTTATTTTTTTTTAAATATATTTTATTGATTTTTTTTACAGAGAGGAAGGGAGAGAGCTAGAAACGTTGATGAGAGAGAAATATCGACCAGCTGCCTCTTGCACTCCCCCCACTGGGGATGCACCCGCAACCAATGCACATGCCCTTGACCGGAATCGAACCCAGGACCCTTCAGTCCACAGACCAACGCCAAACCGGTTTCAGCAGAGTAACAGATATTTTAAAAGTATAATCCTGAACTGTGTGAGAACTTTTATGAGTTGTTTTTATGTAACACGGTGAAGTATGACCTATAAAACATATGTTTCTTTTATTTTAGGAAAGGTTATTTGTCAATGAAGAAAATGTCAATGAATTTCTTGAAGAGGTTCTGAGCACTCCATTTCAACAGACAATACCCCTAACGTCACCGTTAATTGAAGTTCTTCAGGTTACTGATAGTAAGATTCAAATCCACACAGAGGTAAGGATTTTAATGGCCTTATAGAATAGTCACTTAGGACAAGGTCAAAGCCTAATGAATAACTTAATTTTTGATGTTGAAACTTTCAGCTAAGTGTACATAATGGCTGAGAGGAATAGAGTTTTTTGCATGCATTTCACTATGTGCTAAACACTCTGCAATTCATTTTCACATATATTATCTAATTTAATCTGAAAATAAATGTCAAATGAGGAATAGAGAAACACTGACATTTGGGAAATTAGTCCAGGGACTATGGTAACTATGTCATACAGTTTGTTCTTTCTTTCTAGTTGAATCTTAAAAGTTTGGTTATTTTTAGTCTTCAGTATTGAATACAGAAATAACTAGCACAATTGGCATTTATGAATTGTGGGGGAAAGTGGCTCTGAATCACAGAAATTCAAGAAAATTCAAGAATGCCCTAGTAAGAAAGACTGCTAAAGGATTTATAAGCCATTTTCTTAATCTGAGGGAGATGAGTCATTGAAATGGTTACCAGAGAATTAAGACCAGGTTTGCATTGTCACTAAATGACTGGAAGCGTGTGGAAGATATGTAGGATAACTGAGGGAGAAGAAGCCTGTCTGCAGGTCTACAAGGGTTCCTCCCTCACAACTTAAAAAATTTTCCCAATAGTACTACAATTTAATTTTCTACTTATTTCAAAGAATAACTTGTTGTTTCTCTTGACATAGTTGCAAGAATGTAGTAACTCTGAACAGTTTCATGAAAAGGAAGAAAAAGTCAACGAAGGAAGTCATCCAACTAAAAAAAACATAGAACATCCTACCACTTCAACAACTGCTTCTGATTCATCTGTAGTACGAGAAATAGACAGTTGTGGTTCAGTTGAATACTTGCAACAAGAGTCTCTTGATGTGTCCCAAATGTTATTTGGAAAGTCTCAGCAACCCAAGTTAAAAATAGAACCTGAATTTGTAAAAGAAAAAGGTGCTGTTTACTCAAGTGAGGAGAAAGATAATTTAAAAGAATCGGTAATGACTAAAGAGGAAGAATTAACAGTTCAGAATATACCTGGTTTTGACAACATACAAGAAACCAATATGGAGGATGGTAGTGTGCAGATTATTAAAGATCATGTGACTCATTGTGCATTCAGTTTTCAGAATTCTTTGCTATATGACTTGGATTAATTCTTCAGAATTTAAAAGAGCAGAAAATTTTTGGACTTAAATTCTATTTCTGTAAACTACTACCTTAAAGCCAAAGATATTCAAGAAAGTATATTTTGGATTTAAAATAGGTATTCTGTTTACCCCTTAAAAACTGAAGATATTTATTCAAGAAATTAAAATGCGCAATTTTTATTCTAATGGGGAAACTGGAGATTTTTTTTGCATGTAGAGTTTATACAGCTTCTGGGAGATAAGTTTTGTGATTCCTCTGAGAGAAGTATATTCTTTCCAAGAGTTAAACATTTAGTTTTAATATAACCTGTATATATTTACTTAGGTGTTTGTTTTCAGTTTCTTTTGTTTACTGTTACACTTAATAAAGTTTCAAGATACTAAGTTGTGTCTGTCACAAAAAGCAACTCTCAAGAATGTAACTAGAAGTGTGAGTTGCATTTGTAAGGGGGACAGAATCTCAAAAATGTTTAGAAATATCACTAAGATGTATTTATGCTTGAAATAGAGATTCTTAGATGAAAGAACTTTATTAACCAGTATTAATAATTCAAATAATGATATATTTTTGCTTCAATTCTGTATTTTACTGTTCTCATCTGTCACCAAAAAATATATATATTTAGTACAGGTTAATTAGTAATGACTTTAAGGCGGCAGCAGGTAATGTATCTGTGGCTAAGTTATTAATTTTGTGGAATAGTATTTGTATTTGAGATCAGAAGAAAATCCGAATAGATTTTTTTTCTCAAAATCATTTTTAGGACAGGATGAAAGAAAATATCTGTTGACCTAATCTCTGACCCCAAAGGCCATAACCTGAGGCATTTGTTCCAAAAACAGCTACCAATTCAAACTTCTGGCTTTACCTTAGTTCTGGAAATTACCTAGTATTTTTAGTCCTTTGAACTGGGGAGGTCAGATCAGAAAACCAAAAGCTGTTTTTTCTTTACATTTATAATCTTGGTAAAGTCTGGAACACTGGGCTGAAATGTGGCTAGCTCACAAAACAAGAGAACTATTTGCCCCAACTTAGATCACCAGATGCATTTTCCAACTACAAATGAATCTTAATTTGAGGCAGTAATTTTGCAAATGTCCACTTAACACAATTTTCATAGACTGAAATAATTGTAATAACTACACAGAAATTAGTCTATTAATTTTTGATTGAACTGAATCGTATACTGTTAAGGAAAACTTTTACATTAAACGTGGTAAACATAGAGTACATTTTAAGCCTGTTTCCTATTATTTAATGTATCTGTCCTTTTAAAAAATATGACTTCAGTTAAAATAAAGATGGCACTAGAACATGTTTCACTTTGGCATGACTAAACTTTGTATCATTTCTGGCTGTATTTCACTGCAGCTTTTTATTGTTCATTATCTATGTCTGACTAGTTTCTTCCAAAGGGAATACATTATCAAGAGCTGGGTATTCTTTATTATTTCAAATTCAACTTACAAACAGTAAACATGAAGATGTAATGCTAACTTTAAAACTTCTAGAATGTCTACTGAATTTTGGTGTAAAGAGTAATCAAAATTTATTCTGCAAAGTGATTAGGAACCTTTTTATGCAAAAATGAGTATTTTATTTTGGCAGACTAAAAGAAAAAAAAAAGAAAAAACCACTGTTTTTCTACATTGAGGTGAAAACAGTGTTAAAATTTATCAATCAAATACATTCCAAAAGAAAATGTGCTCTATGAAGGTTCCAAAGCACAGGCAAATCTTAACACAATTATACAGGAATCTGTAATACTGAAATTGACTCTGTTTTGACAGGGTGTTTAACAAACATAATTTCTGAATTATAAAACCAGCCAAGCAATCTCTTCCTAGTAACAGTGTGGAGTGTGAAATTGGGCTTGTTCCATTAATACTTATTTCACTGTAATACTTCCTACTGCTATGTCATTAAGTAAATTTAAGTAAATTTTGCTGTACTTAAGTTTTGAAAGTGGAAAAGTGTACAAAGTTCCAGGTAAAAAGATTAATAGATGCAATTTAAATAAAATTTCTCCTCTTTTCTCAGTAATGATTACCTTTCCCAGATACAGATTGAGCTTTAAAACCCAACTCCCAAAATAAAAACTTGTATTTTAAATCTTAATCAGACTTAAAAGGAAAAGATTACTATAATTGGATACCTTTTACAATAATTGTTTTTTCGTATTAAAACAGAAATCAATCCCTAAACTCCTTTATTCAATTGTCTTTCCTGTTGGGACAAATATCAAAAATAGAAGACTGTCACCTTTTGTAATTGTGATCTTTTCATTGCAGTCTTCTATAACTTTTACACAGTTCGTGGTCTCTAATATCTCCCCACCCTCCATTTTTCCTAGGTGGAGAAATGGGTGCCATAAACTTTTCACTGATAGTTAGAGTTTCTGGGAACATGTACTGTTTGTTACTATTTAAGAGTGACTCAATTTGGGCACTCTGGGTGGATGGTCTACAGGTTTTCTTGTGGTGCATACCACAGTCTCCAGCATGAAAAATCCTAGGTACCTGAGGAACCAGCACTTTCCAGAATTTTGGAAGACAAGATACAGTCAAATACTGAAGAGTCCAGTCCCAGTTATAATCATCATAAGTACAGAAAGTGTCTGTGCAATCGATCAGCTTATGATAAGCATCCCGGGTCAAGGCTAGACCCATATTGTGCTCTGTGGATTTCCAAGTTTTCACATCTACCTTGTCAGCAATGCCAGAGAAACTTCGACTGGCAGTATAGGTTCCCAGAGAGAGAACATCACACTCAGGACACTCTTGCTGCTGTAATTTCCTCATTTTTTTGAAAACATGGTAAAAGTCTGGAGCTAAGTAGTGATCCTCCTCTAGGAAAAGTATGAGGCCAGCATATTCTCGAAGAACTTTGACCCTTTCCCATACAAAATGCAGCTTCCACCACCAGTGGTGTTTGGTTTGGGAGAACTTGGCCTCTCTATAATGGCCAAAGGAATCAGGATACTCAGCATTAATGCATCCCATCTTCAAAGCCGAATCCTTCTCCAGATCTCTGGGGCAATCTCTGGGGTCACTGCCCGGAAACTCGTTGGGGTACAACTGAATGCTGAAAGGAAAGAATACCTGCAGAACTGGGCAGAAATCCACCCCAGCGATCAGCTGATTGATCTCTGTTGACCAGAAGTCATGACTAAAGATGACAAGGACGTTGTCAATGCCCTGGGCTTTTCGAAGTGAGTCCAGCAACAGTTTGAGGTAATCTGGCCGGTTATGCACCTGGACCACCAGCACCAGCTCTCGGGGGGGCCAGGAGCCGGCCTTCTCTACATTCCTCAGCGTCTGGTCGAAGTTAAGCTGGTACACCAGGGACCGGTACCGCAGCGTCAGGTTGTCCGCCTCGGGCAGCGCGGCCGCCGCGACCAGCGCGGCCGCCGACTCGTTGGAGACCCGGCGGAGGTCCACGGAGCCGGCGGGACGGTCCCCGCCCCGGCCTCCCGCACCCCGCGCGGGCTCGGCGTCCAGCAGCGGCGGGGCGAGGGCCTCGCTCTTCCTTTGTCGCCCATTGCTGCTCCAGAGGACGAAGCCGCAGGCGGCCACCACGAGCGTCAGGATGAGCACCTTCCGCTTGTAGATGCGGAACCTCATGGTCTCCGGGGCCGGGAGCGCGGGCGGGCGGGAGCGAAGGAGCTAGCGGCTTCTGCACGGAAGGGGCGGGCGGGCGGCGGCCGTCGCGTTGGCCTGTAGCAGTCGAACTGGCCCCCGCGGCGGCCCAGGCTAACTCATCCCCGGCCCCGGGGGTGCCGGGACCCGCAGGCTCTCAGCCTCCCCGCGCCGCCGGGCTCCACTCATCCTCGTCGGGCAGCGGCAGCGACAGAGACCCCGCCGCTAGGGACCGGGGCTCGGGGTCGCCTCTGTCCTCTCCATTCAACACGGGTCCCAGCAGGAGCCCGCGCGGCCCACCGCACCAGCTTCTTTACCTGCGCCTCCAGCGGCCCGGCGTCCTCGGCGCTCTCATCCTCCCGCGGCCACGGACGGCCGAGCTCGAGCAACGGAAGCCGCACCGCCCCGGCGCCGCCCGCTCTGACAACTGCGACTGGCCCGCGAGCGCCGGGGGCCTCGGGCCCACACGCTCCGCCCCGCCCCGGGGCCGCTGGTTGGAGCTTCCGCGACGCCGGCGGAGGCGCGCGGCCTGCGCCGCCCGTTGCCTATTGGCCCACGGCCCTGTCGCTCAGGGCTCGGTTCCTACTTCCGCCTCTTTCCTCCATTTCCTGTAGGCGCCGGCCGAGCGGAGCGAAGCGGGGAGTGAGGTTCGCGATTTTCCCGGTAAGCTAAGGTCCGGCTGTAGGGCCCCCGCGGGGGCCTCGAGGGCTCAGAATCCGGGGTGGAGTAGGCCCTGGTAGGAACGGAGGGAGGGACCCGCTGCCTTAGCTCGAGAGAGTTCGAGAGCGGGCTTCTGCCTCCGGAAAGGGGGTCACGCATGGCGCTGCTGGGCCGGGAGGCACTGGCTAAGGACACGTCAGCCTCGGGCGGCTGGGGGTGACGGCGCTCGGTACTCCGGGCGGAAATGCGAACCAGACTCCTGCGGTTTTCGGAGAAGGAACCGGCCGGGCTCCACGCGCACGGAACCGGGCCAGCCCAGAAGCCAGAACGCGGAAGGGGTGCGAGGAACCGCCGAAAAGAAACTGGCCTTGGCCCTCCCTGCGATAGAAAATTAGCCAGTCACCACTAGCTCCTCTTTTTACCAGCCACAGTGAATTGAGTCTCCTTTATACGCTTTCGCTGTTTTTTAGTGAGTCTCATTCTACAAGTGTGCTAGTGATTTAAGCATTCCAAAAAGAGTAGTTGGTGGATTTATACATTACTGATTTATGTTATTTTCCTATAAATACTTATAAGATACTTTGACTTACCAAAATGTTTTAACAGTTATATTTTAAATATCTCAACAGTTTCCATCGTACAGACAGCTCTACTGCCAAGATGGTCAATGTGCCTAAAACCCGAAGGACTTTCTGTAAGAAGTGTGGGAAGCATCAGCCTCACAAAGTGACCCAGTATAAGAAGGGGAAGGATTCCCTGTATGCCCAGGGGAAGAGGCGCTACGATAGGAAGCAGAGTGGCTACGGTGGGCAGACAAAGCCGATTTTCCGAAAGAAAGCTAAAACCACAAAGAAGATTGTGCTGAGGCTTGAATGTGTAGAGCCTAACTGCAGATCAAAGAGGATGCTGGCAATCAAGAGATGCAAGCATTTTGAACTGGGCGGAGATAAGAAGAGAAAGGGTCAAGTGATCCAGTTCTAAGCTTTTATCTTTGAGAGGAAAATGTTAAAGCGGTAGAAAAATTACCTGTATGAAAATAAATGCAGTGTTACTCTTACTCATATCTTTTGTGTGTCTTTTGAAATATAAATAGAATTTCATGTTTAATATGGTTATAAATTAAGGAAATACGAGTAAATTTGTAAGTGAATCCTCTTCAAATTATTAAACTTAGTTCCACGAAAATTGAAATTTTATATGTAAAGGCAAAAGTTTAACTCAAACTTAATAGCAGGGAAAATATTGTTATTATCTGATCAATTTCAAATATATGTTGAGTGAATTTACAATTGTGCCACACCAGCACTGTTCGGCCAGCCTAAGGGAGGGTAGTGAAGGATGAAGGAAAAAGATAAAAGAGAATAAGCTGGATCTAGGTGGGTATTCTGTGCCTGGCTGAGGCCACAGAATAGATCCAGACTGCAAAGCTGATGCTTTATAGTCAGGGGTAAACAAGGAAATTTAAATGTTTTTGTAAGCTTCACTTGTTTTGGCAGCACTTGCTGCCCCTCCCACAGCCCATTAGCCACCCAGGAAAGATCTAGGGAGCAGTCACAAGATTAAGTTTTATGCTAAGAGGGCTGTGCCCACCTAGCTAGGACTTGTTTGCTGCATTCAGTCCAGGTTTAACCCTATAACCGCTCCCTATAACAATCACGATGGGTGAGCTGGTGGGAAAACTTAAGATTTGGGGGAAAAATTAGGATAAGCTAAGCCTGTATATGACAGACTGAGTGGGGCAGGGGATCTAAGGATATAAAAAGCATACTTTTTGCAAATGTACTATAATAGGAACCACTGGCCACATGTAGCTACTTAAATTTAAAAGTCAATTCCTCAGTTATACTAGCTAATTTAGTGTTCAACAGCCACAGGCTAGTAGCTATACTATTTCACAACATGGATAAAAGTATTTCCCATCAGTCTTTGGACAGCACTCTAGAAGACTCTTGAATGTAAGGTAGGAGTTAAAAACTGACTTCTACCTAAAATTGCGAAGCTAGTAAAACAAAAAAACCAGTAAGTCTGCCCAGTCAATGTGTTTCAGTGGTTGAGCACTGACCTATGAACCAGGTCAGGTTCCATTCCCAGTTAGAGCACATGCCCAGGTTGTAGCTTCCATCCCCAATAGGGGGCGTGCAGGAGGCAGCCAATCCATTTTATATCAGTTTCCAATGCTCCCTCCCTCCCTCTCTGAAATCAAAATTATCAAAACAACCCATAAGTCTATGATAGCATGAACTTTTTGGTTTTATACTATAATGAAAGTTACGTGAATGTTGTTTCTCATAAGTAATAACTCCACTACTTGGAATGGCCCACAATTTTTTTTTTCACTTTTCCCTCTTTATTTATTTAAGTAACATTTTTAAAAATAAATAATATCTTTTTTGTTGTTTTTATTTATTTTTTTAAATCAATCTTTATTGTTCATATTATTACAAAAGTTCCTCATTTCTTCCCCCCTCCATCAGGTTCCCACCCCACCCTCCGCCCCCTCCTCACCCCCCCATTGTCAGTTTATGTTCAGTCTCTTCCTCCCTCCCTTCCCCCCCCCCCCAGAACAGTCAGTACACTCCCCTCCCATATCGCCCACTCTACTACAGTGAACAGCTATTATTGTTCATCAGGTTTTTCAATCTTTTTTTTTTTTTTAATTAATAAAATTTTACACTTCTAAGAATAAATTTTAAAATCTAATAATTTTAAACCTTGTTTTTTTTCTGCCCTGGGAATTGAGAAGCAAACTTGTTTACCTGTAAACTTGCCCTTAGGCTATCAAAAGGTGTAGCCATTCAAGTGTTTTAACATAGCTGCTGGTTGGAATTGGATTACCTGTTCTGGGTGGGAAGGGCTTGTCATTCCCTTTCTCCATTAAAATTAAAGTGTTAGCTTTAAAACCTCTTTTTGGCAAGGACCTTAAACTTTCAGAACTTTAAATTTTTCAGATAGTAAATCAGTTACTTAGCATTTTCTCAAATCAATAATACCTCCACATGCCCACTTCACACAAAAGACATTTCCAAATAGATCAACCAACCTCATCCAGGCCCCACACGGCACTCACAGATCAACACCCTAGCGCTATACTAACTCAACACATCCAGATCTAAGCCTTCATCACTTGATTCAGCAGACCCTCAAGTTCCCCCAAAAGTTTTCAGCCATGTCTGAGAGGCAGCCTTGGGGCGGGGACAGGCGAGGAGAGAGCTGTTCTGGGCCTGGCTGCTCTGGGCCTGATGGCCCACAATTAAAAAAAAAAATTATTTCTGGCCGAACCCGGTTTGGCTCAGTGGTAGAGTGTTGGTCTGTGGACTGAAGGGTCCCGGGTTCAATTCCGGTCAAGGGCATGTACATTGGTTGCAGGCACATCCCCGGTAGGGGGTGTGCAGGAGGCAACTGGTCGATGTTTCTCTCTCATCGATGTTTCTAGCTCTCTCCCTCTCTGTAAAAAAATCAATAAAATATATTTTTTTAAAAATTCTTTCTGGAATTTTTCATTCAATATTGTCAGATCTTTACTGACAATGAGTAACTAAAACTGCAGATAAGGAGGGGGGTGGGGACTGTGTCCATTGGGGGGACTGAGTACATTGAGATGTACTCAAATGTTATAGCTTATTGGTTATTGGGAAAGTTGAGAAGCTAAGCAGTTAAGATTGAAAACAGAATGGGAGGTGGAAACTCAGAAGTGAAATTAGTTATTGCCTATGAAAAGCAGAGAAGAAACAAGTTTAATGTCAAATGAAAAGAAAAACTGGGAAAGGACATAGGTTATGAGAAGAGGGCAAAAAATTCTGCTTTTTGTATTGGCAGCTAGGGTATTTACATGGGATGGATTGTAGATGAGTAAGACAGGCAAAGGGCTAGGGTGTAGGAGTAAAAGATGGTTAATACTTATTCCTAACATTGACTATTATGTCTGCATTTGTTAATGAAAAAACTTTTCTATAACATAAAATTCAGATACACACAAATTTTAAATATGCCATAAAACATCACCTTAAGGAACCATGTTTTTTTAATCCTCACCAGATATGTTTTTATTGAGTTTAGAGAGAGGATGTGAGAGATACATTATCAATTGCCTCCCAAACTTGACCCTAACCAGGGACTGAACCTGCAACCTAAGATGTGCTCTGACTAGGAATGAAACTTTTGTTGTGTAAAATGATGCTCCAACCAACTGAAAGCCAGGGCTAAAAAATCATGTTTTATATTTATGGGCCACCCTCACCAGTTTATAAGTTTAGAAAGTCTTAAGATAATTACAGAATTCTTGGTTTTAGAGACCAAAGTGAGTTAACTTTAGAAGGCAGTATCTTGGGCCTAAAATCTCTAATCTGGGTTCATGGTATCTCCCTTCTAGGAGGGTTAAATTAAATATAAAAGACTGGAACAAAGTAAGTACCAGATAAATTGCAACTCTTTTTATTTTAGGCATGTTTGCATTATATATAATTTTTAAAATAAAAAACTAGAAATTATAATATGATTTTTTTAGGAAGAATTTAACCACTAGCAATACAAATTTAAGGTTACCCAAAGAATTACTCCTCTGGACCAAGATCTTGTCTGAAAGAATCAGCTCTGAGAAGAAATTTTACAATTCATATACATAGTTTTAATAAAAATTCAAAACAATTATTTGTTAAAAAATATTTGCATTTTCAGGGTGAAAAAATGCCCCAAATAAATACTTTAGGAAGACAATGGGGGTTATGTAAGCCATAAGAAATAGTCATATATTGCCCTAACTGGTTTGGCTCAGTGGATAGAGCGTCGACCTGCGGACTCACAGGTCCCGGGTTCAATTCCGGTCAAGGGCATGTACCTTGGTTTTGGGCACATCCCCAGTGGGGGTGTGCAGGAGGCAGCTAATGGATGTTTCTCTCTCATCGATGTTTCTAGCTCTCTCTCCTCCCTTCCTCTCTGTAAAAAATCAATAAAATATATATTTTTAAAAAGAAATAGTCATATAACTCCACCTATAACTCCAAGCCCAAAGTAGCAATAATATACTACTAGAAAAGGTTTTCTCCAGTAACTTTTACTCTTTATCCTCCCCTATGGGACTACTAGGGGCCCAGTGCACGAATTCAAGCACCTTGAAAGGAATGGTGGGCCAAAAAGCTGTAGTAGGTACAGGGACAGGTCTCCACACACCTCCACCCCACCCACACACACACACACCCTCCCCGGTCCTGTATGCCAGCAGAACTCCCACACATTAACAGCGCAGCCCTAATTGCCCCTCAGGAACAGAGGGAGATGGAGAAGCCCTGAGGGGTGATCAGGGCCAGTAGTCACCACACCAATCTGCTGATGGCACCAAGCAAATAGGACCAGCACCAGACACCAGCAGCAGGTGCAAGCAGTGGCTGGCAGCCCCAATCTCCCCTCAGGAGCAGAGTGAAGTGGAGAAGCTGAGGGGTAATTGGGGCCGGCAACCACCACTTGCACCCACTGACAGCACCGAGCTGGCACTGGGTGCCGGAAGTGGGTGTGAGCGGCATCTCTGGCACCAACAGCAGATGCAAGCGCCAGTGGGACCGCGGCATGCAGGAGCAAAGAATTTCAGTAACCACCAGAGGCTCACCCCAATGACAGCACCCTATTCACCTGCTCCACCATCCAGCAGCAGCCAACACCTGCCATGTTCCCTCGTGGTCAGTGCAAATCATAGTGACCAGTTGTTCCGCCATTTGGTCTATTTCAATATTAGCCTTTTATTATATAGGATTATTATATAGGATTATAATGATCTAGGGGAGAAGTTGAATTAAGAAAGGCAGGGGAGAGGCACTTAGAGGCACCGCGGAGGGGCTTGCAGCTGGAGAGTGGAAGGGAAGGAGCTACAGAGGAACACTGACATGAGAGACACACATTGCATGTGTCCCTACTGTGGCTGGGAAGCCTGCAACCGAGGCACAATTCCTCATTGACTGTCTGGTGCCTAAGGCCCTACAGCGCACCTGCTACAACACAGTCTGACAGAAGCTCACCCTGATATTTAGTGAAAAAAAGTCACTATTCCTCATTAACTGTCCGATGGCTAACACCCTGCAGTACTTGCTGCTGACAAGTCTGAACATAGGCTTCATGTCATCCTTAGTGAATCAAAGCCTTTCTCCAGATTGCTGAACCCATTGTAATGCTGAAATAAGAATCCCGGCAGTCCCTATTGATGGGAAATATTGGATAGAGCCATATCCTTTCACGTCAGATAATTTGACGGTCAAACAAAGTGAATGAGGAGCACATTATAGATTCTCATCAGTCCAAGAGCTGAAATGGAAGAGGGATCATAGGAAAATGGGCCACTACTTACAGAATGTCTCTGTGCCTCCAGGATCATCCCAGATTTGATCATCAGGGACTGCTGTGGACTTGACCGTAGATGGAAGCCACCTGTGATGTGCAGATGGACCTGACTCAGAGTCTGGATCACTTGCGCTTCACAGGTCTCTTGAGAGCCAAGACTCTGCTGGAACTTGCCCTCTAATGTGACTGCTATCCCAGCTCACTCTCTGATGGACCTGCCTCATGCTGGGTCCAATATCTGCTGCTTCTCTGAGACTCAGGAGGGAGTAACTTCGTGGAGGGGCTTTGTTGCCTATGTCCTGGTTTCCATGGTTCTGAGTCTGGACACTAAAGTGACAGAAGAGAGCCCTCTTCTTGTGTACTGGGTGGAGATGAGGCTAAGTGCTGAGGAGTTGTCCCAGAACGTGGCTTCTTTATTAAGTAGAAACTTTCCTCCAACATTTGACTCAAAAGAAGGCCAAGAAGAATGCTACTTACTTATGGATGGTATCAGAACTTGATGGGGAATCCTGAACACCTACACTGTGACTCACACACCAGCCTTCCTAAGGTCCCAACTAGAACCCCCATCTGCCAGACACTGGTAGGACCATCATGTCTGCTGCAGGACATGGAGGAGGACACACACTGGACCTGTGACAGTGCCTGTCTTTTTCCAGGTTGAACCCAAAAGAAGCAAACTTTTAGGTCATTCCATGGTCATATACCCAACTGATAAATAATCTGCCTCTAAAATCTGGAGGCCCCCCGGGTGCTGTTTCTCCATCTTGGTAGCAGGTGGGGCCAGATGCCAGCAATCATTGTTTACGTCCAACAGTTACCTCCCCCAGAATAGCACTGGATACAATACTTCACTGAGTAAGAATTCTGAATTTTAGTCAGATTTCTTCCTCAGCTACTGACTCTAAAAGTGTATCAACTCTAGAGTAGTATTGTCCCACTCACTTGGTCCATCCTGCATAATGTCGTCATTGTAATCGACCAGCAGTGAGGACCTTCAGCCTGTAGAGACGATTCATCCCAGAGGGAAGATAATGAAGGTATAAGGGGGCCTTGCCACCTGAGAGAAGGCAAATTTGAACTATAGAAATACAAAGAGGAGGCATTTGCCTGCAATGTAGGTGCATATGGTACAAGGTGATGTAGACTTTGAAGTCACTCAAGCAAAGTAACCATATGGTACAGAAGCAGCATCTAGGGCAGTAGTTCTTTACCTAATGTCGTGACCCTTTAATACAGCTTCTCATGTGGTGACCCCCAACCATAAAATTTTCATTGCTACTTCATAACTGTAATTTGGCTGTTATGAATTGTAATGTAAATATCTGTGTTTTCCGATGGTCTCAGGCCGCAGCCGGGAAGCTGGACTGGAGCCTGGTGGGTCCTGGATTCTCTAAGAGGTTCTTCTAGAAACAGACCCCTCAGATACTTCCTCACTTCAGGACCGAGTGCTCGATAACTAGAGCCACCTGGAGGCCACCTCTGGGGATGCACAGCCCAGCCATGAGGAAGAGCCGGCCCAGCTGGCCCAGTGTGGCCTTGTCACAGCCCCTGGTGAGAGTCAAGGGCTTAGTGGGCACAACATTGCTCCAGCCAGGGCCCAGGGACACCCCTCGCCTTGTCCGCGGGTGTTTAGGGGGAACACACTGTGCCGAAATGGTGGTGGAAATGCCCAGGACACAGGTGATGGAGCGGTACATGAGCCAGGGCTGCGGGGAGCAGGAGCAATGTAGCCAGGGCGCAAAGCTCCGTAATGTAGAGCAAGCCCTGCATAATGCAGTTTGCAAACTGTCCGAGGGGTTTTCTGGGAAGGACAGTAGGTGGCATGAAAAAGCCATGAGAAACTGAGGCAGAGCTCTGTGCCCAGGAACATCCCCAGCCCACCAGCCCTAGCAAGGGCTGGAAGTACCTCTGGTCTGAGCAAGGTCAAGGTTCACAGAAAGAGAAACAGCAAAAGGAACAAGCAGAGCCGTGCAGTGAGAGCCCTTTTCTGTGCAGGTGCAGCTGCTGCTGGGAGCAGCCTGCGTGGAGGGCCTGGCCCGTGCTCTGCAGCAGGAAGCTGTCCTGCAGCCGGTCAGGGAGCACGGGCTACAGTGCGGGCCTCAGCGTCCCTCCCAGACCTCATGCACCCACTCCATCTCCTCCCAGACCAGTGCTCGCAGCAGAAGGTTAGGCTCTGCACCTCCCCCTCGCCCTGGGGCTTTACGCTTGCTCCTCTTCAGCTCTGGTTGGGTCACTGATTCCCCAAGCAGTTCTTCAGCATGTGCCCCAGCTGGCAAGAGCCCCGTTGCACTTGGCCCACACTGGTCCCTTCCGAGTAGAGATTTAGCTGGTACATCAGTTCCCTGCACCTCTAGCTGGGGAACAGCCTGGTTGTGTCACCCCAGGGAGCAGACCTTTAGGCAAGCTGGCATCGCCTCAGCTGGGGCCCACCGCCCTCCCACTACACCTCCCAGCGGGCCAGAGGGCCTGCAGCTGAGCCTCCTGATCTTCATGCTCTACCAGCACCGTTCTTCTGATGGCAACTGACAGTGGATCTCAGAGAGCACAGGACTGGCCTGCAGGGAGCACACACTCATTCCAAGACCCCACTGCTGCTGTCCGCCTAGATAGATGGGCCTCATCTGAGTGTGCTCCAGCTTCATGGGGAGCACAAGGCATGTCTGCAGGTGTCCCGGAGCGTTCCCCTCACCAGCAATGGCCATCAGCATGGAAGAGGCTGTCTCTAGTGAAAGAGACTGCCCCAGGGACCTCAGCCATCCATGTAAAGACTATTGAGTTATCCCAAGATCCAGGATCAGAACTGTAGACTTTGTAACAGCCAGAGCAGATTGGTTGGGGGGGAAAGGAGGGAGAAAGAGGAAGAGCAGGAGGAGGAGGGAGAAAGAATGATAGAAATTAAGAAATTAAAGAAAGAAAGGAAGGAAGGGAAAGGCAGGAGAATGAACAGAAGGTACAGTTCTAGGAATCCCAGACTGTTTCAAGTTGATTCCTTTTCTATTCTCTCTGCCTTACTTCAAACCCTCCTCATCCTTTAGCTGGTGTATGGCCATCACTCTACATTTAAAAAATTTAAACAATAAACAGAAAAAGAACCTTCAAATAACACAAAATGTCAGTGGAAAGTAGCACTTTTCTCTCCTCTCACCCAAACAAAAACTATTTGAGTTCTAAAAATAAACTTAGAAATACTACAAAGATTATGTGATTAACATTATATTAATAAGAGTAATATGCAAACTGACCACCATTCCAAAATGGCTGGTAAGCCGGGACTGGTTTGGCTCAATGGATAGAGCGTCGGCTTGGGGACTGAAGGGTCCCAGGTTAGATTCCGGTCAAGGGGATGTACCTTGGTTGGGGGCATATCCCCAGTAGGGGGTGTGCAAGAGGCAGCTGATCAATGACTCTCATCGATGTTTCTAACTCTCTCTCTCTCCCCCTTCCTCTCTGTATAAAATCAATAAAATATATATTTTTAAAAATGGCTGGTAAGGGAGGGCAGTTGTAGGCAAGGGAGGGTAGTAGGGGGGGACCCAGGCCTGTAGGGGACAGTTGGGGGGATCTGACCTGCAGGGGAGAGCAATTGTGGGGGGACCAGGTCTGCAGGGGAAGACAGTTTGGGGGAACCAGGCTTGCAGGGGAGGGCCATTGGGGGGTACCCAGGCCTGTAGGGGAGGGCCATTGGGGGGTACCCAGGCCTGCAGGGGAGGGCCATTGGTGGGTATCCAGGCCTGCACAGGAAGGCAGTTGAAGTGGACCAGGCCAGCAGGGGATAGCAGTGGGAGGGACCAGGCTTCAGGGGAGGACAATTGTGGGTGATTAGGTCAGCAGAAAGGGCAGTTAGGGGTGACCAGGCCAGTAGGGGAGGGCAGTTAGGGGCAATCAGGCTGGCAATGAAGTGGGTAGGAGGTGATCAGGCTGGCAGGTAGAAGCAATTCGGGCAATCAGGAAGGCAGCTGGCAGCCAGCAGTCCTGGATCGGGCCTAAATGGGCGGTGGGACATCCCTTAAGGGGTCCCAGATTGGAGAGGGTGCAGGCTGGGCTGAGAAACACCACCCCCCCAATGCAAATTCCGTGCACCGGGCCTCTAGTAAAACTTATAAAAAGCTGAAGTGTTGCCAAAACCGGTTTGGCTCAGCGGTAGAGCGTCAGTCTGCGGACTGAAAGGTCCCAGGTTCGATTCCAGTCAGGGGCATGTACATTGGTTGTGGGCACATCCCCGGTGGGGGGGTGTGCAGGAGGCGGCTGGTCAATGTTTCTCTCTCATCGACGTTTCTAGCCCCCTCTCTCTCTCCCTTCCTCTCTGTAAAAAAAAAAAAATCAATAAAATATTGAAAAAAAAGAAAAAGAAAGCTTGAGTGTTTCCCAAAACAACTCCCACCTTATACTTGGTGATTGTGAAATTCTATATATAGAATAGGTGGTATAACATAAAAACTTCCATACCAATTATTTCACTATAATTTAGACCATATTAATTCTCCAAGGAACATTTTCTGCATACAAAAACTCAATTTCTTTTATTTCTTTCATGAAAGAAGAAAGCAGGTAAGAAAACTCTATGACCAGAGTGATTAGGATTACTATCTGCTTAACATTAAAAGATAATCCCATTGCCGAAACCGGTTTGGCTCAGCGGTAGAGCGTTGGTCTGCGGACTGAAAGGTCCCAGGTTCGATTCCGGTCAAGGGCATGTACCTTGGTTGCGGGCACATCCCCGGTAGGGGGTGTGCAAGAGGCAGCTGGTCGATGTTTGTCTCTCATCGACGTTTCTAGCTCTCTATCCCTCTCTCCTCCTCTCTGTAAAAAAATCAATAAAATATATTAAAAAAAAAAAAAAGATAATCCCATAATTCTGGACACAGTAGGCTAAAATAAACACAAGTACAATAAACACAAAAGTTAACCCCATAATAAAAAATCAGATTTTAATAAAATCAAGGTTTTTCAGTCAAATTATTAAAAATGTTAGAGTAATACACATTTTCCCCCTCAAATATGTATGCAAAAAAAGCTTCCCTTTTTCCAATTTGACACTGCTAAACCAAAAATGAATCCCAAACTGATCTTTAATTTCTTTTTGTGGTATCATCTATTACCTTAGCATTTCACAGGAATTTGCATAACATGACAGAGAACAGAAATAAGAAATAATCGGTGCTTCAGTGCCACCCATATTATCTACTAAGACCACAGTGTGAGCAACGGAGTGTAGATTCATGGTAGTCATTCCCTGAATAAAACTGTTCAGACAGAATCCTCCACAGACACAGGTTTTTGCAGTATCCAAATCTTGGCAAAGATGGAAAGGAATAATATGAGAGCCATATGGAATCCTATTGGAAAAAAAGTTTTAAAAATATTTTAAAATATATTACTAGATTCAGAACTTCACATATTAGGATATGAATTATTGAACATAGAATTATAACCATAAAAAATAAAACTATTAACTAAATGACACAATATACTGTTTTATCTTACAAACTGGGTAATGGAGAAAATATTCCAAAAAACAGTATATGATATATTCTAAGACCAGTGTAATATGATAGGTTAACCATCTGTACACCATCAGTGTCTATAAACGAACCTTTTTGTTTAAATTTAAAATATCGAGGCAGATAACTAGTTACATATATATATATATATATATATATATATATATATATATATATATATATATATAGCTCTGTCATACAATTCTCATAATGTTAATTGGAGAATTAAGGATTTCTACTTGTGAAGAAACATTCAAATAAATCCACATACTCTCCTAGGCACCAATTATCCAAAAGGAAATTTTAAAACTATGTGAAACAAGCTGAAACCAGTTTGGCTCAGTGGATAGAGCATTGGCCTGCGGACTGAAAGGTCCCAGGTTCGATTCCGGTCAAGGGCATGTACCTTGGTTGTGCAGGAAGCAGCTGATAGTTGTTTCTCTCTCATCGATGTTTCTAACTCTCTATCCCTCTCTCTTCCACTCTGTAAAAAAAATTAATATATTAAAAAAACAAACAAAAAAACCCTATGTGAAACAAATTTAAAACACTGTTTGGGGCATTAGCTTTACTTTACTGGTTGAGTAGTAAGGCTGTTCTCACCTTACTTAAATTATTCACCCTCCTGCTTTGTATTGGTACCCAATGCAATTAAAATAAAGTCTAAGTCATTGCCCTCATCTACACAAAACTAAAAGACAGTCTCTTGAGATTGCTTGCCTAATGTCCAACTTCTTCCCCCTAAATACAACAATGCCCTAGGCACTTATTGCCTGTATACTGCTGTTTCTATATGCTGACTCACATTAGGTGTTTAGATCTTTTTCAAAAAATAAAACCTATTCTTATTTAAATCAAAGTTAAAAACCCTTTTTGAAAAGAAAAACATTACATAAAAAATAGTGGTTTACTTTTCTTAAAGAATTTGAAATTGGCCTTGTTTGCAATTTTTCATTTTTTCACATGTACTTATTTTTTGCTTGTGTAAGTAACAATTTTCTAAAAACTGTGCCAGCAATTAACAATAAAAAAGATCTCTTACCTTTTGAGACAGTATGGAGGGACCTGGAGAGCATTATACTAAGTAAAATAGTCAGAGAAAGACATGTATCACATAATTTCACTCATATGTGAAGTCTAAGTGGATCCAGACACATGGAAGCATGGAACAGAGTGGAGAATCTCAAGGAAGGCAGGGAGGGGAGGGTGAGTGGGTGGGAGGGAGATAATCAACCAAGGATCTTTTTTTTTTTAATTAAATATATTTTATTGATTTTTTACAGAGAGGAAGAGAGAGAGATAGAGAGCTAGAAACGTCGATGAGAAACATCGACCAGTTGCCTCTTGCACACCCCCTACTGGGAATGTGCCCACAACCCAGGTACATGCCCTTGACAGGAATCGAACCCGGGACCCTTCAGTCCGCAGAATGAAGCTCTACCACTGAGCCAAACCGGTTTCGGCCAACCCAGGGTTTTGTATGCATATATGCAGACAATGGGGTGGTGAAGGCCTGGGGTAGAGGCTGGCTGGAGGTGGTCAATGGGGGGGGGGGGGGGGGGAAGGGGACATAAGTAATACTTTCAACAATAAAAAATTACTTTTAAAAAAATCTGTACCAGGAAGTGTCTATTACATATTTACATCTAGGCTATTGGTTATATTCTAAGGCAGTGGTTGGCAATCTGCAGCTCATCATGTGGCTAATCATCAGAATTTTTAAGCTCTTCAGATGATTCCAAATGTTAAGTAAAGTTTGAGAACCACAACTCTAAAATAAGAATTCTTAAGCTATGGATTGAGAGGAAGGAGGATTGGATTGGATTTCAGAGGGGTTCATGAACATTTTAAAGTTGTATGCAAAATTTTGTGTGTACTCATGTGTGCATTTTTCTAGGACCATAATTCTAGTCAGTTGCTTTTAAAATTTTTCTTTTAATTTATTTTTAGTAAGGGGAAGGGAGAGGAAGGAGAGGGGAGAGAAGGGGAAGGAAGAGAGGGGGGGAGGGGAAGGAGAGGGAAAGAGAGACATCTATGTGAGAGCAAAACATGGATGGGCTCCGGGGATCTAGACCACAACCCAGGCATGTGCCCAACTCAGAATTGAACTGGCAACTCTTCAGTGCATGTGGCAGAATGATGCCAAACTGAGCCACACCACTCAGGGCAGGTTTTTTTTTTTTTTTTTTTTTAAGTTTTCAAGAGTCTCTCCCCTACTAAAAAAAATTAAGAATCTCTTCTTTGAAATATGGTCTTGCTACTATTTTATAGGCACTCAATAATGAAAGAAATGGAAAGAATACCTGAAGTTCCTTGTCTAACAAAACCAATTTCAGTGAATGTACAAAGGGAAAAGAACCAACCGTTATTGAGTCCTATTATGTGCCAAATGCTTTGGCATTACATTATCTCATTTATCTTCACAACTCTGTTCCTGTTTCAGATGGGAACATGGAATCAAAGGAGTTAAATGACTTGCTAAAGTCTGACTCCAAAGACCATACTTTACCACTATACCAGTTTAGAGTTATCAAACTTTAGAGTGCATCAGAACTACCAGGAGGACTTATTAACAGTTCCCAATTCAGTAGTTCTGGAGTGAAGTTCAAGAACTTGCATCTCTAACAAATTACTACGTGACATTGATGCTGCTGGTCAGGAGATCATAGTTTGAAAAACAATGCCATTTTTTCAAGCATTTATTAAGTGCCTAATATATGGCAAAAGCGGAGGTATCTCATTTTAGATACTAGGGAAACAGTGGAAAATAAGACAAAGTCTATGCCCTTATGGAACTTACAATCTAGTGGGAAAAACTGACAGAAAACAAATGTTAAAAAAATTAATGCCAGGTAAGACATCCTATGACCAAAACAAAACAAAACAAAATAAAATAAAGCAATATAAGGGGTGGAGGATAAACTTTTAGATAGGGTCACAAAATAACTTTCTGGAGTTCCACTTGGATGAAGTGAGGAAGTAAGCTATAAGAATTTCTTGAGGAAAAAGCATTCCAAGAAGAGAGAGGTTAAGAGTAGCAAGGCCACCATAGCAAGGGGTCAGATTCTGCACAGAGCTGTGGTAAAATACTTACTAGTAGTCTGAGGATGATGAGAACACTAGAATGCTATCAAAAGAATCACATTTTATGACTACCAAAATCTTACCTATTATGTAATATGGTTCGTGCAGAAGATTCCAATAAAGTTAATGGTGTTTGCAGCATTATAACTGGAAGAGCTTTTGGCTGTTCAAAAGAATTTCCAAAAAGATCCAAGTACTCAAGGGACAAATTTTTAAATTCACTAGGCAAAAATGAAAGCTTATTTCGAGCTGCTGACAAAAATCGCAGGTTTATCAATTGTCCTATCTTCATAGGAAATTGAAGCAATTCATTATCATCAAGTTTTAAATCTGTAAGTTCTCGGAGCTGGCAAAATTGCACAGGTAGTGCCTTAATTTTGTTCTTGCTCAGATCCAAACTCCGAAGTGATTTCTGGAGTGTAGATTGACACAATGCCACACTAAATGACTCCAAGTGATTGTCATTCAGGTTAAGTTCTTGAAGGTGAATGAGGTCTCCAACTGTAGCTGGAAGCTTTTTTATATGATTGTGACTCAAGTCTAATTTCTTAAGGTTTTTTAAGCAAAGCATACGCATATCAACTCGGACAAGCCCACAATAAGAAGTCTGAAGATGTTCCAGATAATATGGAAAGTTTTTGCTTAGAGGATAGTGCTTTTTGGATGTGATGACCATTTTAGTTTTAAAATTTTCAAATTCTGAAGTCTTCACTGGTGTGAGGGGTGAAAATTGTGTCTCAACATCACAGCCTCTATGAGCCAGTCTCAGAGCTGAAAGGAAACTCTTTAAACTGCTGGAATTGGCCTGAATAAATAAAAGTAAGTTGTATAAGTATAAATTTCATTTTAGATAATGAATACATAATTCAACATATAACAAATTCTGTCAAGTTATATATACAAATGATCCAATTATAACTGAAAATGGTTATAAAAACAATTTTTTAGTATTCTATTTTGACTAAATTTCAATATAGATACAACTTTAAGGTTTTTTTTTTAATGTCGAGAGACAAACTCTAAAGAAAACTGTTCAGCAGGGGAACCATAGAGTATAAAATAAAATAGGAAAGCATGAAAAGATTCCACCTGAGATTTGGGTTTAAGATGAACTCATCCAGACCTCCAGTGCCCCTGCGATAGGCTAAGACAGCCCTGTGCACTGTAAAATGTACAAGGGTTCCATTCATAAAGATCAGGAGTTGTGAAAAGCCAGGCCTTGTCTATCAAAAGCAGAGTTAAATGGCTACTGTCAAGAGTATAAGGAAATATCAAAATCAAGTGAGATTGCTTACAATTGAACAGAGATATATGGTATATGAACTGTCATCAAGCCCTAGCTGGTTTGACTCAGTGGATAATGTCAGCCTGTTGTCTGAAGGGTCCCAGGTTCGATTCTGGTCCAGGGCACCTGCCTGGGTTGCGGCTCCATCCCCAGTGGGGGGCATGCAGGAGACATCTCTCATCATTGATGTTTATGTTTCTGTTTCCTCTCTCTCCCTCACCACTTTCCCTCTCTGAAATCAATAAAAATATTTTTTTAAAACAAATAAAAATAACAAATACTTTGCAGAAAACTTTACAAGTTTCCTAAAGTTTACATGTGAAGGAACAGGGAACTTTAAGTGTAGGAAACGAAGTATGCGATCCTATTTGTTTAGAATGAGGGAGCTTGGTAGAGGAGTAAAAAGATTAGAAATACAGTATGAGGATAAGATTCTAGATGAGCCTGATGTCAGGGTAAGGAGGACAGAATGATCAGGCTGTGGGCAATCACTGAAGCATTTTGAGTATGAGAATTACATAGAGCTTAGTATTACTTTGACAGTAGTATATAGTGAAATAGAGTGAGAAAAATCTGGAGATCTTGGTCAAGTAGACAGTACCAACTTACAGACTTGGAGTTACATACAATACGGGTTGAGCTATGGGAATGGAAGGCAGGTATGGCAGGAAACTGAAATAAAGCCTTTATTTAGGGGACAGAAAAAAGGTTGTCAGAGATAAGAGACAAAGAAGTGGTTAAAGGTAAATCAGGACAGGATCTTGTAACAGATGCCAAGAAAGGAAAGAAGGAAATGGTCATCAGTGTCAAATACTAGAGCTAAAAAATGTGAGAAAAAAATGGCAATGTGATTGGCAAATAAAAGGAGATCACTGATCTTTGAGGCAGTGTTTTGGATACATCAGTGAAAATAAAGGTAAAAACAGCCAAAATCAGTTTGGCTCAGTGGATAGAGCGTCGGCTTGGGGACTGAAGGGTCCTGGGTTCGATTCCGGTCAAGGGCATGTACCTTGGTTGAGGACATATCCCCAGTAGGGGGTGTGCAAGAGGCAGCTGATCGATGACTCTCTCTCATCGTTGTTTCTAACTCTGTATCTCTCTCCCTACCTCTCTGTACAAAATCAATAATATATATATATATATATATATATATATATATGTAAATAAATTTATTTAAAAAAAATATATTATTGATTTTGTACAGAGAGGAAGGGAGATAGAGAACTAGAAACGTCAATGAGAGAGAATCATCGACCAGCTGCCTCTTGCACACGCCCCGCCAGGGATGTGCCCGGAACCTACGTACATGCCCCTGACCAGAATTGAACCTGGGACCTTTCAGTCTGCAGACTGACGCTCTACCACTGAGCCAAACCGGTTTCAGCTCAATAAAATATATATTAAAAAAAAAAAAAAAAAAAAAAAAAAAAAAGATGCACTACTATATTAAAAAAAAAAGAAAAAGAAAAAGAAAAAGGAAAGAAAAAAGAAAAGAAAAAGAAAGTAAAGGTAAAAACAGATCCTAAAAAAAATGGAGACAATAGATTTAACCCTGTCTTCCAGAAATTTGTTTATCCTATTTTTTAAATAGGTAAAACTTCACTTGCTTTTTAGGTAGAAAAAAAGAGTTAGTGCCCTAGCCAGTTTGGCTCAGTGGATAGAGCGTTGGCCTGTGGACTGAAAGGTCCCGGGTTTGATTCTGGTCAAGGGCAGGTACCTCAGCTGCAGGCTTGATCCCAGCCCCGATTGGGGCTCATACGGGAGGCAGCCAATGCATGTGTCTCTCTCACAGCGATATTTCTCTTTGTCTTTCCCCTTCACTTCCATTCTCTCTAAGAATCAATGGGAAAATATCCTTGGGTAAGGATTAATAACAACAAAAATAAGAATTAGTGGAAGGATAGGCTAAACATCAAGTGAAAATGAAAAATCACAAGAACAGAAGGAGGTAGGACAAAATAATTCCATTCAACTCAGATACCTTAAAAGTTGTTAAACTTTTAATGTTTGAAAAGGATTTTGCTTAGGGTTAAGAAGAATGCAAGGATGAATAAGACATTGCTCCTACCCTCAAGGAAAAGGGAAAACAAAAAAAGGGGACAAAGAAGCAGTCTTTTTTTTTTTAATTATTCTAATGGTCTATCTAGTTTTAAAAATAATTATAATAATAAAATACCCCAACAAGGTTCTAATTGCATTTTATCTTTTTTTTTTTTTTTTTAACACTTATATAACCTATAATTCAGCTGGCAAAATGTAGACTCCTGCCACCTTCCTTGAGAGTTCCAGTATAAAGAACACCTTAAGGCTCCATTTTGGGTACAGAAGCAAACCTAGTTTTCCTCCCTATCCAGGGCAGCCTTATACGAAGGCTGCCTCTGCCCTTTTAGAGGAATATACTGGTAAACACATCTGCAAGAGTACGCCCCTAGAGCAGGCGGGGCTGGTGCGGCCAGGCCCGGAGCAGCGGCTGCCAGGCTGGGAGCGGCCAGGCCCGGGGGAGCAGCCGGGTCGGGTGCGGCCAGGCCCGGAGCAGCGGCTGCCAGGCTGGGAGCAGCCAGGCCCGGGGAAGCAGGCGGGGCTGGTGTGGCCAGGCCCGGAGCAGCGGCTGCCAGGCTGGGAGCAGCCAGGCCCGGAGCAGCGGCTGCCAGGCTGGGAGCGGCCAGGCCCGGAGCAGCAGCAGCCAAGTCCAGAGCAACTAGGTCGGGAGCGGCAGTGACCAGACCCGGAGCAGCTGGTTGTGGAATGAACCAGAGCAACAGAGGCCAGGCCCTGAGCAGCCAGGCCCAGAACAGCTCGCTCCTTGCCTGCCCCTGCCCCACGGCTGCCTCTCAGACATGGCTGGAAACTTTCGTGGGAACTTGAGGGTCTGCTGAGTCAAGTGATGAAGGCTTAGATCTGGATGTGTTGAGTTAGTTTAGGACTGGGGTGTTGATCTGTGAGTGCCTTGGGTGGGGCCTGGATGAGGCTAGTGGACCTATTGGGAAATGTCTTTTGTGTGAAGTGTATCAATTGGCATGTGGAGGTATTATTGATATGAGAAAATGCTAAGTAACTGATTTACTATCTGAAAAGGGATTTACTATTGGGGAAATTGAGGGAAGAAGAGACTGAACATAAACTGCACCTATGGATGAGGACAATGGGGGATGGGGAGGGGGCAGAGGGTGGGATGGGAACTTGGTGGAGGGGGGAAGAAGAAATGAGGAACCTTTGTAATAATATGAACAATAAAGATTGATTTAAAAAAAAAAAAAAAAAAAAAAAGTACGCCCCTATTCAGCCATGAGAGATATCAGGATGCTCAAAAGCCTCTTTTATTTTTGGTCAATCCTTACCTGAGGATCCTTTTTCCATTGATTTTTTTTTTTTTAAGAGAGTAGAAGGGAGAAGGAGAAGTAGAGAGAGAAACATTGATGTGAGAGAGACACATTAATTGGTTGCCTCCCATATGAACCTCCACAGAGGCTGGGTATTAAGCCTACAACAAAATATGTGCCCTCGACCCGTCAGTCCTTCACTGATGCTCTAATCACTGAGCCAAACCAGCTATGGGTCAAATGGTCTCTAATTTAAAGAAAATACAGCCAATCAACCTTAAGATTAATGTTTTTAATATCATACCTTACTTAGGCAGATATCCACAGCAGGTTCCTTTAACCGAACAGTGGCTTTCCCCTCATCCACAAATTTGGTGAAGAATTGCTCAATGTTCCCCTTTAGCTGCTTAAAACCAATGGGAAAAAAAGAACAAAATCAAGTACTGTTAATACTAACAGTTATTACAAGTAGAATATGCCAGTCATTTTGTGAGGTTTGTCTTTTAGTCCTTATGTTTGGGTATTTTACCGTTTTAAGTTTTTTGTTTTGTTGGGTTTTTAGTAGTTGGGTAGCTACATTTCTTATCTATCTTCTGATAGGTACTATTGTTCTATCAGTTCAGTTAACTCTGTCCTCATCTGAGAACAGAATCCCCTGTGTTTTGAGAGAATATTCCTCTTCTCCCATTCCAACTATGTAGCTATAGTGAGTTGCCAAGAGTAAATACCTGCCTTTTAAATTTCAGTCCATTAGCATGCCTCCCACAAGATTATAAATTCCACAAAAGCAGGTATCTTGTCTCCTTTGTTCATTTTTGTATCCCCAGAGCTAGACAATGACTAACACATAACAGATGCTCAAAATATTTTAATGACTGATGTTGCTTCTGCTTTAGACTTCAAAAACAATTTACCTAGAAGCCATTATATCAGATTAACTATAATAGGGGGCTTGGGACAACAGAGATGAATAAAACCAGAATGGTAAGCAGACTTAGTTGTCAATCTGACATTTATTAAAATAATTGTAAGCATAATTAAGGCAAATATGTAAGCAATTATTAAGATGAGGAAGTACAGGCTACTATAAAACCTTATATAACAAAGAAATTTTACCTGGTCTTAGGATATGAAGGTGACCTTGAAGGTAGAACTAAAGGATTAGGACATGTATAGGAGAGAGAAGATGGCTTACCAATAAAAGGGAACAATGCAAAGCATTGAAAGCAAGAAAGCTTGGCAGCTGTGAGGAGCTGAAAGAAGTTCAGTATGGCTGAAAGATCCAGTGAAAAGGTAAGAGAGCCTTTACAGAGGTAAACAGATTAAACTGTGAAAGATGTTTTAAACCATGTTAAGAATGTTGTGGGGGTTTTGTTAATTCTTACTTGAAGATATTTTTTTCCATTGATTTTTAGAGAGAGGGAGGGAGGAAAAGAGAGAAACATCGATGTTACACATCGATTGGTTGTGCATTCTTGACTGGGACTGGGGAATTCAAACCTGCAATCCAAGTCAGTGCCTTTGGTGCATGGGCCTATGCTCTAATCCAGGGGTGAGAAAGATCTGGCCTGCAGGGCCATATAAAGGTCCTGAAATCATTTGGTCTGAACCTGCCAAGGCATTAAGGGTTAGTTAATTAAATGTTTGACCAAATATAGCAGGCTAATTTGTAAGTTGATCATTTTGTATGACCGTAAATAATGTTATAGATATCTAAATGGTCCTTGACAGAAAAAGGGTGCCCATCCTGATCTAACCACTGAGAAATACTGGCCAGGACAAGAATTTTGTATTTTGGCCCTAGCTGGGTAGCTCAGTTGGTTAGAGCATCATCCAGATACACCAAAGTTTCAGGTTCAATCTCTAGTCAGGGCACATACAAGAATCAACCAATGAATGCAGGTAAGTAGAACAACAAATTGTTCTCTCTCTCCCTCCCTCTCTCTTTAAAATGGATAATTAAAAAAAAAAAAAATTCAGATTTATCCTAACAATGATATTCATTGGAAGAATTTAAGCTGGGAATATCATTAGATCTATATCTCTACAGGTTCCCTTTAACCACAGGGTAAAAATGGACTTTGGAGGCTAGGGGGATGGGGATGAAGAGTGGGAGGAGGGAAGGACAACAGAGGTAGTGATCCTTTAAGGGATTAGCCAGGCAAGGTATAATGATGGGTTAGACTACAACTGGGATGGATGAAAATTTGAAAGATATCTAGGAGGTAGAATTGAAAAGATTCAATAATATATTGGATGCAGGGAGGCAAAGGTTTTAAGATTTCTGGATAAAACAGAATACTACTTAATAAGTTGTAGAACACTGTCAGAAAAGCAGGTTATGGGTGACAAGGACAATTACTGTCTAGGTATTTTGAGGTTGAGATGCTGCAACACATCCAAGTGAAGATTTCCAGTAGACAGCAGATTAAAATCAGAAGTTAAGCCGAAACCGGTTTGGCTCAGTGGATAGTGTCGGCCTGCGGACTGAAGGGTCCTGGGTTCGATTCCAGGGCTGTACCTTGGTTGCAGGCACATGGGGGGGGGGTGTGGTGGTGGTGCAGAAAGCAGCTGATCGATGTGTCTCTCTCATGGATGTTTTTAGCTCTCTATCCCTCTCTCTCTTCCTCTCTGTAAAAACTCAATAAAATATATATTTTTTTAAAAAGAAGTTAAGGGATTTATACATTTATCTGGATAAGATGAAAAGTATGTTTCTCATTGCTCTTCTAAGATCTATTCCTTCTGATGACCACCAATTTGATGCCCTCCATCAATATGTCATGCAGATTTATAAAGTCAGATGTGAGTCATGACTATTTCTGTGTGTGTATGTGTGTGTGTGTGGGGGGGGGGGGGGGAGCTAAATGTCCAGCATTTTTTTTAAGTGAAAACAGAAGTAATATAAAAGTGTACCACATTGGGCAAACATCACAGCACATCAAACACACATACACACGCGCACACACCCCTCTAAGATACGATTGTAGCCCCCTATCTAAGGGGGAAGATACATTCCAAGGTGCCCAATCAATGTATGGAAGAACAGACTGGCAAACTCATATAATGTTTTTTCCTATGTATACATGCCTATGATAAAGTTTAAATTCTAAATTAAGAACAGCAAGAGATTAACAATAATAACTAATAATAGAACAATAATAATTTTTTTAAAAGTAAGTTAAAGGAGAAGACTGGCCAAAGATATAAATTTGGATATCACAATTGGAGGGTAGCTGAAATCATAGGACAGAAAAGTAAGTGTAAGAAAGAGGCCTATGGTACTTTCCATACTTAGCACAAATACCTACCCTTCAAGGCCCAGGACCAATACCAGCACCACCTTAATTCATCCAAAAACATTTACTGAGCACCTAAGATTTTCCAAGCCCTGTGGTGCCTCTCTTCTACAAAACTTTCTCAAGCCCCGATAATTAGAATTCATCTCATTGTTTCCACTTTTATTACAGCACTTATGGTAGCCCATCTTGTAAGTAATGGTTTCTTTTTTCTAATCTCAGGGCAGTGACTAAATCAATCTTCCAGGTATCTAGCACTGCACCCTGTGCATAGTAAGTCTGCAATTAGTGAATAATACAATTTTAATTAGGATTTCCTCCTGAAATTGACTATTGGTGCAATAGGTTACTTTTTAAAAATATGTTTTTACTGATTTTAGAAAGGAAGGGAGAGGGAGAAATATCTAAGTACCATGACTGGGGATCATAACCACAACCTGGGCATGTGCCCTGACCATGAATGAAACTGGTGACCTTTTGGTGCACAGGATGATGCTCAACCAACTAAGCCACACTGGCCAGGGCACAATAGGAGTTTTAAGAGATCATCATCACACTTTTTTTAAATAGGCAGTACCTGAGCGAAGCATGAAAGAGAGGCCTGGGGAGATCCAACTGTGGTTATGAGTTTGTTTTTGTCACCTATTTTTTTAAATAAATCTTTATTGTTCATATTATTACAAATGTTCCTTCCCCACCCCTTCCATTGCTCTCCTCCACCAGATTCCCACCCCACCCTCTGCCCTTTCCCCACCCCCCCTTGTCCCCATCCATAGGTGCACAGTTTATGTTCAGTCTCTTCCCACATCCCCCTCTCCCCTTTTCCCCAAGAATCATCAGTTCACTCCCCTTCCATACCTCTGAATCTATTATATTCAACAGTTAATATTGTTCCTCAGATTTTTTTTTAAATTTCCTTGGTTTTTAGATTCACTTGTTGATAGTTACATATTTATTGCTCATAATTTTTATCATTTACTTTCTCTTCTGAAAGAACCCCCTTCAGCAATTCATATAATTCTGGTTTGGTGGTGATGAACTGGTTTAGCTTTTTTTTATTAGTGAAGCTCTTTATCTGACCTTCGATTCTGAGTGATAGCTTTGCTGGATAGACATCTTTGTCTGTAGGGTCTTACTATTCATCACCTTGAATATTTCTTGCCATTCCCTTCTGGCCTGCATGGTTTCTGTTGAGAAATCAGCTGACAATCGTATGGGTGCTCCTTTATAGGTAACTACCTGCTTTGCTCTTGCTGCTTTTAATATTCTCTCTTTGTCTTTTGCTCTTGGAATTTTAATTATGATTTGTCTTGGTGTGGTCCTCTTTGGATTCCTTTTGTTTGGAGTTCTGTGTGCTTCCTGGACTTGCAAGTCTAATTCTTTCACCAGGTGGGGGAAGTTTTCTGTCACTATTTCTTTCAGTATGTTTTCGATATCTTGCTCTCTCTCATCTTCTGGGATCCCCAAAATCCTGATGTTGGTTCGCTTGAAGTTGTCCCAGAGGTTTCTTACATTATCTTCAATTTTTTGATTCTCTTGTCTTCTAGCTTCTGTGGAGGAGTGTCTTCTGGCTCTTTATACTCCAAATCTTTGACTTGATTCTTGCGAATTTCCATTCTGTTTTTAGGACTCTGTATAATATTTTTTATTTCAGACAATGTATTCTTTATTTCTTGTTGATCCCTTATCATTTCTTGTTGATCCCTTATTATTTCTAGTTGATCTCTTTTCATATCCTCATAGGTCTTATCCATCTTTTCTAGGAAATTCTTGAAAAACCTTATATGCGTAGATTTGAACTCTATATCCAGCCACTTTTTGTCCTCCATTTCTTTCGTTTGTGATCTATTTCATTGTCGCATTTCACAGCTACAGATGGGCGGAGTTTCAGGGTGGAGCCTACAGCCTTGTCTTCCAGCCCCGCCCTATGTGGTTCTGGGGTTTCAGTAATCTCCAGGGTCCTTCAGTTGCAAGCACCTCTGAGTGAAAGGTGCCCTCGATTTTCGCCTGCTACCAGTTTAGGCTCTCCCCCAATGAGCCCGGAACTGGGGTTCAGTTCAGTTGGTAGTGGGATTGGAGGTGGCGCTCATAGCAGTCTGGAGCCCCTGTCTCCTTCCTGCCAGGGCAATCCCGTGGCACAGCCAACCGGACCCTTCTCTGCGCGCAATGTGCGCGCTGCCAGGACCTCCTTTTGCCGCTCCCCTGCAGTTCCGCCTCGCAGCCCATCTCCCTCTGGATGAGCCTGGGTCCCCAGGGTCTGGCCTAGAACTGGGGTTCAGAGCAGTCGGGGGCCCAACACAGTCGGAGCTTTTATCTCCTTCCCTCTAGGGAACGCCAGATAGGCACTCAGTCGCCCTCCTCTCCGGCTCCATCCTCTCCGCGTGCCGCGTGTCTCCGTACCTTAGGCTTTTTTAGCTCCTCCGCGCTTCCTTCTGGTTTTCTCCTTGCTTCTTGTTGTAGAATTTCCAGTCAGTCGACTTTCCTGTAGTTCTGGGTAATGCCCATTTTATATTTAGTTGTATTTTATTGAAATTGTTGTATGTGGCTGCGGCTAGGTGTTTACTTGGGCAGCCATCTTCTGACTTGCCCCCGTCACCTAACAATTTTGTAAGCTTTACAATGTTGGGTGATTTCTAAAGTCCTATCGATTTGAAAAATTATGAGTTGATTCTAGCAACAGGAGGAAATTATTCTCTTTCAACTATTTACATGAAGTACTAGGTGTCTGAATGAGACTGTAATAGTTCTCAATTAAATATTCCCTGTGAAGTACAATACTGTAAGAGTGGGCAATGAATTGCACCCTCAACTTTATTTACAGACACAGGGTAGTCCAGTCAGTTTGACAAAATAACAGTGCCTGGCAATGAAAGAGAAAGATTTTATAAAACCCATGCTTTAAAAATTCTATTTCAAGATCAACCAAAGACCTCGTATGCATATATGCATAATCCATGGGCACAGACAACAGGGTGCTGAAGGACTGCTACACAGATAAGAAAAAACCCTGGACCTATGAAATAAGGTCTTAGGAAATTAGACATTTAAGAGAAAGACAGAGAGAGAGAGAGATGCAGTAACCAACTTTAAAAAAAATCAAGATGCAACCCAAAGCGTTACTGCTTTACTATTGCTAGAGGGATACGATTCATCATCCCTTTAGGCCCTTTTTACGCCAGCGAAAGTTTTGTGGAGGAAACCGAATTTACTGAACGGAAATACAGTGATTTTACTCTCCCCTCGAATTGAATTATTGCTGTGAGCCCGGGAGTCTGGCGCCTTCGGGCACTTGGCCAACCCAACACCTGAATTACTCCAGGCCCCTCCCGCCGCGGCGCCCCGGGGCGCTCAGGGGCGCGCCCGCCGCTCCCCTCACCTCGTAGCGGGTCCCGCGCTTGTCCTTCAGGGTGGCGACGAGCAGGCAGGCGGGCCGCGGGGCTCCCGCTCGCCCGGCCGGAGGCCGCGGGGGGCTTCGGGGCGCCTGCTGGCAGAGGCTCAACAGCGCGCGCACGCCCTTGCCCCGGTTCCTCAACCCCAAGGCCGGCAAGTGCCGACTGACCACCTCCGCCTCGCAGTGCAGCCTCATCTCTGGAGCGGAGCGCGGCGGCAAAGCCGCAGCCCGACTTTAAAACACGGCGATTCCCGCGCGCCGCCGCGCCGCCGCCGAGGTCCTCGAACGCGGGCTGCCCGCGGGCTGCCTGTCTGCTCCGCGCCAGCGTCACGGCTCTTGGCACAGGGGTTCCGGGGGCCTCCCTCAGGGCGGCGTCTTCACCGCGGCTGCGAAGGCAGAGCGCGGGCACCAACAGCCTGAGGACCCCGCGGGCGCCTCCGAAGCCGGCGACGGGAGGGGCGTGGCCCTTCCCCGACTTCCGGGGAGGGAGCTTGGCGCTGGGGGCGGAGTTCTCCTTCCCGTTATTTACACACTGGGCCGCTGAGTTTTCCGAGGGAAGGCGGTGTGTTAGGAGGAAAATGTCTTTGCTTACCCAGCGTTGACATGACTTGTTGCCCAGTGCCAGCTAGGGTGGGCATTCCCTGGCTCTGTTGGGCTGGTATTTTGTTTTTGGTGGCCCCCCCCTCGTTCCAGAGACAACACCTGTCACAGCAGAAGGAACTTGTTAGGACAGTACTGGACTTTGCAACTTCTGTTGAACAGATTCCCACTTTACAACTGCAAGGGGTTAGGATGGAGTAACTGGTTTAAATGCGTGTGAGACTTGGAAAGACCAGGGGGCGGGCCCTTTGGAGCCCTTATTCTGTCTCCGAAAGGGACTGGGACCCGGGGCGGCGGGTCTGCCTCAGCACAGTCTGGGATGTGTGGGTTCTTGACTTCCTGCAGGAAAGAATTCAAGGTAAGCTAGGTCAGTGGCCGGCAAGCCACACGTGGCTCTTTGGCCCCGTGAGTGTGGCTCTTTGACAAAAAAACATGTGTGGGCCCGCACATACAGTGTGATTGAAACTTTGTGGCCCATGCGCAGAGGTCGGTTTTTGGCCTGGCGTCTATTTGAAGAACTGGCTTTAGAACACTCAAGGGGCCAAAGAGCCGAAACCGGTTTGGCTCAGTGGGTAGAGCACCGGCCTGCGGACTGAAAGTTCCCGGGTTCGATTCTAGTCAAGGACATGTACTTTGGTAGTGGGCACATCCCCAGTACGGGGTGTGCAAGAGGCAAATGATCGATGATTCTCTCTCATGGATGTTTCTAACTTTCTATCCCTCTTCCTCTCTGTAAAAAAAATCAATAAAATATATATTAAAAAGAAAAGGGGTGGGGGGCAAAGAGCCAATTTGCTGACCAGTGGGCTAGGTGATTTTGGGAGTATCTGCCCCCTGATGGTCAGTGTGTGTCATAGCGACCAGTCAGTTGGACACTTAGCATATTAACCTTTTATCTATATAGATGTATAAATGTTAGTTGAGAACATTAGAGTAGTATAAAGTAGCCAGATGACGAGAACAATTTGTTTGCTAAACCTAGGCTTTAGAAAACCAGTGAAGCAAAATTTCAAGCAAGGAATAAACTTCACACCTACTTAAGAAAGGTTACTGTGGTCAGTAAAGAGATTACTTTGGAGGTGGAGCAAACCCAGAGGCAGTTATCAGGTAGCTAAAGCAACAACCCACAATCTACACTGCTGCCAAAATAAATTTCTAAAGAGGTCTTCTAGCCCTGGTTTGACTTGGTGGATAAGAACGTTGACAAGTGTGCTAAAGGGAATGGGTTTGATTCTGGTCAAGGACACAGATGGGTTTTGGGCTTGATCCCCAGTAGGGAGCATGCAAGAGGCAGCCCATCAATGATTCTCTCTCATCATTAATATTTGTATCTCTCTCTACCTCTCCCTTCCCCTCTGAAAAAAGAGGTCCTAAGATAGAATCCTAAACTTTTGGAGTCAAAACATAGTTTACAGATAGATATTCTAATTCAATTCTCTCAATTTACACCAGGGGAATAGAGGCTGAACAGAGTAAAGGGACTTGCCTGTAACCTCATAGATAGTGTTAAAACAAGTAGTACTAGTGTTATGCCCAGATTTCAAGATCCCCAAGGACCACCAGGGAGCTGAGTCCGATGCAAAAGCAAAAGAGCCTTTATTCAAACTTGAGCCTGGTCTCCCTGCCTCTACTGATGCAGAAGCAGAATGCAGAGAGCCCTGAGCTCTGAAAATGTGGTCTTTTTTTTTATAGGGTTTAGAGTTGGGTGGTGGGGTGATGCTTGGACCACTGAGTTGGCTGGTTCTGATTGGAGGGGTGAGGGCCAGGGTCTGGTTATGCTGGGTTACTTCCCTCTGTATTTCTATTGGCTGATTTAAAGGTGGCTTGGGTAATTGATACATTTTATACAAAATGGAAGGCACTGTACAAAACGGAGTCAGTCCTGCTCTGCCCTTGAAAGAAGCTTACGTGCTGGGAAAGGGCTATGAGACCATATCTGAAGGCCTGGACTGGTGTCAGCACTGATAACTCTATAGTCCACGGCCTCTCTGGAAGCATGCTCCAACATTCTCACTCTCTAACACTAGAACTCATCTTACCTGCTATACTCAGTCCTTCTCCAAAACTTCATGGAGTCCCATTCTTAGCAAATTAAACACAAATGCCCAAAGGCTCGGTGTCTTATTCCTTTGGAATCCAGGTCCTATTATGTATCTGGACAAATCACCCCAGGGCAGCCTCTCTGATTTTTCAATTCCTGCTTAGCATCTGCTCTTTAGGATTCCCTGGGGTTCAACTCTGTACTTAAAAAAATAAAAATAAACTTTTGCGGGAACTTGGGGGTCTGCTGAATCAAGTGATGAAGGCTTAGATCTGGATATGTTGAGTTGGTGTAGCTTTGGGGTATTGATCTGTGGGTGCCTTGTGCGGGGCCTGGATGAGGTTGGTTGACCTATTTGGAAGTGTCTTTTGCGTGAAGTGTATCTTTGGGCATGTGGAGGTATTATTGATATGGGGAAGTGCTGGGTAACTGATTTACTATCTGAAAAGGGATTTACTATCAGGGAAAGGGAGGGAGGAAGAGACTGAACATAAACTGTGCACCTATGGATGAGGACAATGGGGGAGGAGAAGGGGGCGGACGGTGGGGTGGGAACCTGGTGGAGGGGGTAGAAATGAGGAACCTTTGTAATAATATGAACAATAAAGATTGATTAAAAAAATAAAAAATAAAAAAAATAAAAAGTGTGGAAAATTTAGTACAAGCAGATTCAGACTTCTCTCACAGGAAGGAGGGTTCAATGATGGGCTGCCCCCTGAAGCCTTGTTGTCCTGGGGTATATATTTGCTACAAGCCTGTTTCTATATCTATCCATGTTGTCACATCAATTGTTCTTACCCAGCCAAGGACCTGAACTTTCTGTTTCTATATGTTTTCTTTCTGTTCCTATGCTGAACTTTCTTTGTATCTGTGTTCGAACACCTTGTTGCTAAACGCCCTTTCTTGTTTTCCCATGCCTCCTGCTTTAATTCCAGAAGCATTTTATTATTTCTGTTTGGTTGGTTTCTGTGATTAGGCTGCTCAAACTGCCACGGCTGCCCCTGCCTGTGTTCCACCTGCCTTTGTTTTCCACTGGACCCCTTCCCTGCCTGCCTGGGTTTCAAATTAACTCTCTCATTAGGGTTTGGCTGGTGACACAGGCTGTGAAAGAATTCACAACTGAGAGAAGAGACAGAGGTAGGGAGGTACTTTATTTTACTTTCCAAGAGCGGAAAGAACCAGTGTATTGCTAGTCAATACAGGGTGGGAAAGATAGAGTGGACTGTACTTTTAAGCAGTTGCTGCTGCTAAATGACAAGGAAGGGAGGGGAGCTGGGTTGAGGTTGAGCAGATGCTGTTGCAGAAAACCAGAGAACTCAGCAATGCTTAGAGAGATGGAGTTACATTTATTATTATTATTATTATTATTATTATGCATGGGCCCAGAAGAAAATGTCTCTCAAATTCTGGGTGAAGTCACACAGGAAATTTTTGGTATTTATATGTTTTTACCTTCTTTGTCTCCCTAATAAGATTTTTTCTGGTTCCCTTTGCAAGTTCTTAAAGGGCTCTATGTACTGGGGCTTTGAGACCTCAACCAAAGGCTTGTCCTGGCGACAGCACTGATAACTTTGGGAAAAGTTTATGGCCTCTTTGGAACAGGGAGTAGTCTTATTTCCTTATTCTTTAAGCAAGCAAGCATTTACAGAAACCAAAAATAGCAGGGTTAAAATTTCAGACAGCAGTTTTTATATAAGATGGATGCTTCAATATCAGGGAGGTTGTCTTGAGAAATCTGTTTGCATTCCAAGAGTCAGTCCAGCAGATGTCCTAAGGAGGTGTCTTGTCAGTATTTTTCCCAAGCCTGTAAAATATTTACAGCAAAATTTATGAAGAGTTCAAAAGAGGCTTATTTGGAAGAGGATGGAGGGAAGCAACTTTGTACTAACTAGAGACTCGTTGGTGAGAATTATCTCTGAGTTAAGAAAATAGCAAGGAGGAGGGGGATGTAAGGATACAACCTGAGAGCACCTTATCATGTCCAGTTGTTTGAAGAGAGGAGCTGACAACCTCAGCGTTTAATTACCAGGGTCTTCTCACAAACTGTGGAAGGCCACAGCGAAGAAAGAAAGGCCTTTTTTCCTCTCCTTTCAGTAGGTACTCAATTGTTACTTGTAGAAGGAATAAGTAAGATGCTGTTCATTTATTCATTTAACAAATATTTGTGAGAGCCTGTTGTGGGGGCCCCAACCAGAGTATGTGTGATGTTAAAGGCCGTTTACCACATGCCTTCATGAAGGCAATAACACAGTAGTATCACTATGTCAAAGGCCTTTGTCCTGTGCGTGTGCTAAGGCAATGATATACATACTGCTCAGGCGCACCCTTTATATAACCCGCTTATGTTCATGTAACACAGATGTCACTAAGTGGTACTAAGCTTCCTTTGTTTGAGTTAGTATAAAAGGTGCTACTAACCAACCAGTACCTGGCTTCTTTGTTTGCAATAAAGCATGTCCCATCTTTCTGCGACTGCTCATGTCTTCTTTCAGTTCCCCGCGTCCAAGAGGTCCCTTCACTGGCAGAGGAGCTCAGGCCCAATGCTTGCTTTTGA